TTATGATGAATGTCTGCGGAAATATGGAAATGCCAATGTTTGGAAATATTTCACAGATTTATTTGATTATCTTCCTCTTACAGCTCTAGTAGATGGGCAGGTAAGTAATGTTATGCAACTATGTGGTCTCATTAGGTTTCATTAAAGTTTGATCATTTGATAAAATAATTAATTTATATTATCATCTTTGAATAATAAATGAGTATCTAGTATTGTCTTTTTTGTTACTCTTGGAAATCTTTCTCGAAGATGCAGGTGTGTGAAAGTTAGTATAACAATTGCCTAATGGTAGTATAATTGCCTGATGCCTCAGATTTCACATCCTCAATTCATGTCATTAAATGAAAATGTCCATATACACATTCACTGTTGAGGGTAAAACTTCCCTCTGCATAGTAGGCAACAGACCGGACAGCAAAGAGATACGTTGCTGGTTAAACACACAGATACTCACAGACTCCGAATGGTGAAAAATAAAACATTCTTTACTCTTAGTGAAAAAACAAACTTGGTTTCTCAAAACAATGATAAAACGTCTTTGAATAATCACTGTCCAATACAAAACATAGTTTGCTTACAGTTCTCTTCAGTCACACACAGTCCCTCTTCAGGAGATCAATCATCAAATAGCAGGAGCAGGAGCTCCCGGGCTTCCTGTCTACTTTTATGGCTGCCTGATAATAACACAGCCAATCATTCTTCTTATATCATTTAAAGTCACAAACATAGTTTTTCTATATATTATCTACCCAACCGTAGGATAAATATCCAACATTCACAATTTTTATACACAATAAAGGGTTAACATTCAGAAGACCATATAGTTCTAGAGATATAACTTAAAATATTAGTCTAAATAAAATGTGCTTGTATAGCTTAAAATTTTGAATACCCAGGAAAATCAGAAGCTGTACTACTATTAACTATACCATACTGTGTTACTTAGATTGAACAGTTGGGAAATGTAATGGGGGTTAGAGATAAAAAAGCAGTGTTATAAATTTCAAAATCAGTGTCTATTAAGCTAAACTATAATCCAGTGACAATGACTTGACATTAAGATTCAGATAATCCAAATTAAAGTAAAAATTGCCATATTGGTATGCCAGGAAGAGGGAAGTCTGCTCAGAGTCACACTGTCTTAATTCAGTGGCCTTAAAAAATTAATCAAGAAATAAAGGTTTAAAGTAGACTCTGCCTGCATATGTGTAATTTGATCTTTTCTCTTGTTAGATCTTCTGTCTCCACGGAGGTCTTTCGCCTTCTATAGATACACTGGATCATATTAGAGCACTTGATCGTTTGCAGGAAGTTCCACATGAGGTAACATTAATGGAAATCCTTCTATGGAGATTATGGTATTTTTCCTTTTGCTGAAGAACTTACATTTTAGAATGTTAAAGCAAATTATCAATTTTTTAGAATTGAAGAAACTAAAATTAACATAAAAGCAGCTGATATTGTTCCCATATATTGGAGTTATATACATGTGTACAAACTATTCTTTCCATTTTTAAATAGGGTCCAATGTGTGATCTGTTATGGTCAGATCCAGATGATCGTGGTGGCTGGGGGATCTCTCCACGTGGTGCAGGCTACACGTTTGGTCAGGATATTTCTGAAACATTTAACCATGCCAATGGACTTACATTGGTGTCTCGGGCTCATCAACTTGTAATGGAGGTAAAATTATGTTGTACCAATCAGTTGAGAATTCAAAGTGCCTTATCTTTAGGCAAAAAAAGTTTATATGAAGGAAGTAGTTATATAAATCTGAAATATCAAAGGTGTTTCAGATCTGGCAGTTACACTAGTTGCACCTCTCAGCAGCCATGCCTTAGTCCTGTATGGTAGTCTTGTATTCCCAGAGAGTTGTCATAGCAGGTATACCGCGTTACTGTCTCTTTAATGCCTTCTGAACTGAAATGCATTTTTTGTGGTACCATGTATGGCTGTACAAGATCACGGAAAGATTCAACTTCTTTAAAGTTCTGCTGACTGGTACATGAGCATACAAATCTCATTGGAAGTATTTATCTGTCTTTGGATCAGAATATCACAGCTTAATATATATAATCTCATTATAATTGCTTTTTACCAGTAGGTTAAAGGTCAGTACTATGTGTGTGTGTGTGTGTGTGTGTGTGTGTGTGTGTGTGTGTGTGTGTATATATATATATATATATACATACACATACATACACACACACATATATATAATATATATATATATTCAGTCTCCTCTTCAGACTTTGTAAATTCTTTCATCAGTCACTCCTGTAATATCTCTGCAATTCTAATTAGCTTTATATTTTATCAATCTTAATGAAGTCTCACTTTGACATAACTTAAATGAGTGAATTGGAACAGTTTTTAAGAGATGGATGTGTTTAGTTCTTCACAATAAAACATAAGTCAAAGGTTTATGATATTAATGATCCAAGGGTAATATTTTAAATAATTTTGTGGAAGACAAGAACAATTAAGATTTTTCATCTCAGAGTGCATTAAACTCACTATTAACGTCTTATTACATTTCAGTAAAAAGCATTTGCAAAAGATAAAGCAAGGCATTTTTTGAATGTCTCTTAGTTAAGTCATGTATCTTGTTTTATTGAAACTATTTTTCTCCCATTACAGGGCTACAACTGGTGCCATGATCGAAATGTAGTCACTATTTTCAGCGCACCTAATTACTGTTACCGTTGTGGAAATCAGGCTGCTATCATGGAACTAGATGACACTTTAAAATATTCCTTGTAAGAATCTTCAGTTTTAACAAAAAATACATTTTAGCAGAAAAATAAGATTGTAATTTTTATAACGTGAGCCATAAATTAACCCAATAGGTTGTAATTTTGTCACAGAAAAATCAAAGCAAATGAACTAAAGTAAATACAAATTTAGTATGGGATGTGCACAAATACTTATTAGGTTTTTAACTAAACAGGTTGAACATGTTATGTGAACGGACTTTGTGAAAGACATGATAGAATTGAGAACATGTGAACTGAAATTTGCTGGTTTTTTCATATAGTTCTGATTAGACAAGACAACCCTTTTAAAATAAGACTCACTAGAACTTAAAATAACAGAATTGGAACAGACCTTGGAGTTCTTCTTCCCCTGAGAGCCTATACCATTCCAGACAAGTGGTTATCCAGTCTCTTCTTAAAAGCCTCCAGTGATGGAGCACCCACAATTTCTGAAGGCAAGCCCTTCCACTGATTAATTGTACTCGCTGTCAGAAAATTTCTCCTTAGTTTTAGGTTGGATCACTGATAATCTAATTTTAGAGTAATATAAAAAGTAATTTAATTTTTTTAAATTGTACCTTTGTTTCAGTTAGTGCAAAATATTTTCTTTTGATTGTATTACAAATCAAAGCTTCTATTAATGTATAGTGTTTAGTCCTGTTATAAGTAGCTTAAAACATAGTAGAGAACCTGAAAACAAGCTGTATGTGTCCCTTATTGATTGATTGATTGGATTTATATGCCGCCCTTTTCCGGAGACTCAGGGCAGCTTACAATGCGTTAAGCAATAGCCTTCATACTTTTGTATATACCTGCTTAGTAGGGCTTTCGCCCCCCCTCCCCCCAAGCGGTGTTCTTTTTTATACAAAGTCAGCTTATTGCCCCCACAAACCGGGTCCTCATTTTACCTACCTCGAAAGGATGGAAGGCTGAGTCAACCTTGAGCCTGGTGAGATTTGAACTTGCAGTAATTGCAGGCAGCTGGTGTTACTTAACAGTGCTTTAGTCTGCTGCGCCACCAAGGCTCATTCCCCACAACATCCTAAACTCAGGTAAAATAGCTGGATTTCAGCCCATTTTTTCCAAGGATCTAGGTGATTTTAAGCTTGGAATGGGAAGTGTTTGTCCGAGATGCCAGTTGTTGCCCACCCACCCACCCTTAAACACCCTGTTTGCTCAAAACCTGATAGAAATATTTCAGATGTCAGTATTACTTGTTGGTTTCCTGCACTTCTCCAGAGAAGTTTAAATTTAAGTTTCCTCCTTAAACATCACTTGTTTGTGGTATGGCATCTTTTTACTCAAAAAACAAAACAAAACCCTCTTACCTCTTAAAAACCTATTTTGACTTGATTATATGCATATAGATTACATAAATAGTAACAAGTTGAGAATCGCATATAAAGTTTATACGTTCATAATCAGTTAAAGGTAAAGGTTTTGTTTTCTTTCCACAGCCTTCAGTTTGATCCAGCACCTCGCCGTGGAGAGCCTCATGTTACTCGGCGTACCCCAGACTACTTCCTATAAACATCTCAGCCTGGCCTTCAGCAGTACTAGTATACTTGGCTTTTTTTTAAAGCAACAATTTATTTGATAAGTTGAGGTCTGTCTCAGCCTAAAGCCTCTTTATGGACCAAACTGTGCCAGAATGAGGATGAGCAGTTTTGAGCACAACGTAAGACTGACTTCACACACTAAACCTTTTATCAGTCAATCCAACAGCCAGTTTGCCTGCTGTAACTGTAGTAACTGGACTGTTCAGAGAGAAGAGGTAACTAATTTCTCCCTTTCTTGCTTATATGTACATTTTAGTTGTAGTGTTCAACTGGCATGTATTAACATTTTGAAGTTTAATGAAAATGTACAAACTAATGTCCCTCTTAAGCCTATTGCCCTCTATTTTATTGACATAAGTAACTTAACTGGAGAAAAGAAATCTCTTGGGAGTATATTGTCATAAGCTTTCTTTCCATTTAAACTAGGTTACTGTTCTGTGTTGATCCCTTTTTTCTGTATATTTGTCATGAAAGTGCTTGCATCTTATTGATGTATTTGAACAAATAAATCTGCAGATCATTATTCCAAACAGATGGATATGCTGAAATGGAATAATTTATCTGTCTGTGTTTCTCTTCAGCATGCACGCAAATAATTATCTGCTTCGTTGTATAAGATAAATCAGGTGACAGTTTATGACTGGAAATTGAAAGAACTTGGCCATGACAAAGTTCACTGGAGACCTTAGCATATATAATTCTTTAATTAAATTTTCAGGCCTACTATTAGGATGAAATTAAAAATGACCACCATCTTGTATTCTTTTAAACCAAAATATATTTAAGTTTGGTAAATGTAATCCAAGAGGGTAAAGACTTCATATTTAAACTAGTGAATTTAAAATAGTACACCTGAAATCTCAAGTTAAAATCTCTTTTAAACAAAGGGCAAAATGATGCTGTAAACTTACTAAAGTAAAGTAAACAACATAAAATACAAACAGCTTAATTCTCTTAATAGGACACAAGTGTTACAAAACTTCCTACATCCCATTTAATTTAGTATTTGTGGAAATGCAATGGGACAAATTCCTAGAATGATGTTCATTAGTCGCATTATCTAATACAGAACTTATGTGCAAGTATATTTTAGAATTAATATTTTGAACTGCAAATATTTTGTGAAAGTGAATAAATATCATCTTACTGGCTGTTGATTCAGAAATGCATTAGGAATATATAGTTGTATATTATTTAGCATATGATAAGAACATGGCAAAGAAGCAAGCACACACACACACAATCTATGTAATTATATACATAGTTATATAATTATATACAATTATATAAATCTATAGGGAGGTGGCAGTGGAACAAAAGTCACCCATGTCCATAGCATCCCATAAAAGCTATATGTGTTCCTAGGCTGTGCTAAATAGGTGATAGTAATCAGCCCTACTGCCTCCTGGGCCTCACGGCAATAACAAACAGAAGAGTATAGTTGTATATATCACTTAGGATGCAGCCATCTCCCCAATCCATATTTTTCAATTCTCATAACAGAGAAATTAATATTGCTTAATAAGGTTATAGCTGAATGGGAACTCTTGCCGATATGCTTTATAGAATGTGATATTGCTTGGTAGAATTTACTTCTTGTGATGAAAAACTTGTTCCCTAATTTTTAGTTACAAATATCTGTACATTGGTAATTTCTGTTGGAAACAAATCCAAAAGAATAACTGTAGGAAGGTACATAGAATAGCCTACCTATTGGGTTTTAATTTTATAGGGGGATAACATAAATTAAACAAAAGGTTTATAGAGTTTTACAGAATATGGATTAGTAAATAGTAAAGTAGTGCTCTTACTAAACTCCTGTGGGCTAAATTCTACATGGGTTACATTTCCCAATAGGCAGGAAATGGCATCTTTCACAATCCAAGGCTCAGTAAACCAAAATACTAATTACTATAGAGTTTATGATTGCAGTACTTCCTCCATAGCCCAAAATGGGTTTTTTTCTGCTCTACTCTTAAGATTTTATTTCCTCTTTGGGCTTAAAGAATGAAGTTATATGATAATTTGCTTGTCATTTTAGCACATTTTACTATTGCAGTCTCAACACGTGGTAGCATCTTACTACTTTTGTCTCTGCTCAGAGGCTAACTAGGTAGGGTTGAATCTGATCAGTACTTGGATAGGAGACTATTAGGAAACACTAAAGGCTACGCTGAAAACAACATGCCAGAAAGCAATGGCAGATAACTTCTGTATTGATGCCAAAGTCACTATGAATATGTCCAAAAGGTCACAAGAAATCAAGCTAAAAAAGGAGACGTTTTAAAATCCAAAATTACTGTTTTCAAGTATAATATAAATTACATCCATGTATACAAATTTGTAACAGCAGAATTAAGACTTCTCTTGAATTGCACAATTTTGTAAAAAACAAAACAAAACTTAATTCACCATGGGAAAAGCCAAGCTATGTACAGCTTAACGAAGTGTAACAAGTTCTTCTGAAGAAGTTGGATGAATAGCCACCGTTTGATCAAAGTCAGCCTTTGTTGCTCCCATTTTGACAGCTACTGCGAAACCTTGGAGCATTTCATCACACCCCAAACCTTGCATATGAAGTCCTACCACCTTAAAACAAAACAGTCATAAACAGGTTAAGGACATGGCTTCAAAAGGACATTTTTTTTCAAACTTCACAGTTGCTCCTACCTTTCTACACTAGGAGCAATATCTTGTATACCTACAAATTTTTTATGTTGCTGTGTCATTGATTAATTTTATACAAAATCTTAATACATCATGCCTGGAAGAGTATTAAATGGTACAACTCATAATTGCTTCAGACATGGAGTAAATAATTGGTTTGATGTGACTTAGGTTTAATAAGTTGTGTGAACATAGCTAATTACAGGTTATTTGAGAAGCAAAGGTTAAGTGTGATGTTTCAACTCTGCTTACACATTAAGTAACATTGGTACCCTCTCGTCCTGTCTCATTTCCTTACGTCGAATAGAATATACATGAAAAGCAATTTTAACATGCAGCATCTTTACTCTTCCCTGCTTTACTTACTTTTTCTTGTTTAGTGGCACAGACCAATTTCATCACACATCTTGTTTTCCTTTCTGTTATTGCGTGGTACATGGGGACAAAAGAAGTTGTATAAATTTTCACATTCTCTTCTCCATATGCATTCACGGCTTCCGCTGGAACCAAATCAAATGACATTAGACATATTTGAATACAGAGGAGGAAAAAAAAAAGAATCTCAGGCAATTGGCTTTCTGACAATACTACATATATAATATGTACATCTCAAAAGGACTAAATATTGACATGTTTGGTGATAGGTGAGCTGGTCTCCTTCATGTGTGGCTCAATCAAGCACCTCAGTGGTTCTAATTCTGAAAAGACATGTCCAAAAGCACTTGAAGATCAGAAGTTTATCAATTGAGGGTCTATTACATATGTCATATCTTAGACTTTGATGTGCAGTTTAAAAAACAAACCAAGCTTGATATCAGTTTGTAACTTCAGCTTCAGAAATCCTATGAATAGAGGTGTTAGAAGTTCATACTTCTCATTGAATTTTTAAAAAATGTTTAAACAATAAAATAACATGATGGGTAACAGTATTCTGAACTTGAGAAATTCTAATATAAAGCGAAACAACAGGAATGTTTGATCATTCCAATTCAGTTTTTTTTCTTTTGTTCAGTTGTACCCAATTCTCAGAAGCTACCTGTACAAGTCCCTGCAGTTTTCTTTGCAAGGTAGTGACTTGTTCAAGGTCACCCAACTGGTTTTGTGCTTAAGGCAGGATTAGAACTCAGTCTCCCAATTTTTAACCTAATGCCTTAACCATTACACCAAACTGGCTCTATCCATAGTCCATAATTTATACTACTGTATCAGAGGTAGGAGCGACCTGAGCATCTACAGCATCAGTAATATAAACAAACATAAGTAGAATTTCCATCAACATCCTGTTAATATAAAAATTCAGAGCATACACATCTTTACCAAGCCACTCTTGTAGAGAATGTCCCAAAAGAAATAGGGAAACCTACTACTCTCCATATATCATTCAACACAATTCCAATCAGTCACAAAATCCACAGATAATAAGGATATCTTGTTTTGGTAGAAGTTCTATTTCACTCATATTTCTCTCTGTTCTTTTTTTCCCAATAAATAAGAAACAAGAGCCTACCTTCTGTTAGTCCCACTGTTCCAATAGGTGGATGACTGAAAACCACAGTCGGAATATTGGTATAGTCCAATTTAAAATCCTTTTTATTTTCAAAAAGTCTATGTGCCAGTTTTCTTCCAGCCGCAATTGCAACTGAAAAATGCAATATTCATTGTGTCATCAATTCATTCCATACATTTTATTACATAGCATTAATAGGTGGTCAAGCTATCCTTCCCAATGTCTTCACAGCCCTTCCACACCCATTTTGCTTTGTTCCATTTTAGAATCCCAAGTGAATTTATTTGATATAATCCTTAAAACATTGTTACCTGGTGTAAGGAGTGCTTTTCCACATACATCTCCAACAGCATAGATTCCCTTTCTGCTGGTATTTTGGAACTCATCAACAATAATATGGCCTGCCTTGTCTACCTTAATATTCTGATAGTAGGAAGAAAAATTAAAGTCAAAGCTGGCATTGTAAGAAATACTATCCAAGGCAAATATTGAACAGTAAGGTATCAACTTTTTTAGTGCCCGTATAAAGGAAAAGAAGGAAATTATTTCAAAGAGTAAAAAAGCAATCAGCCTATCCATAATATCAAGAGCTTTGGGAAAAAAAGTAACATTTCTATAATAATTTTTCAAGCAAACTAAACTTATCTAAGCAATATGAACAAACATTTAGGTTAAGATAAAATGGGGGGCATAGGGTGGGAAGCTGAGCCATGTACTATCAACTATCTTTGCCCTCCCCCCCCAATGTTTTAGTATGCCATCCAGAGTTACCTAATTTGTTATATTTGTTCTCTGTAGTAGGAAAAAATACAGAATAGCAAATAGCAACAAAGTAAGAAAACATTCCATTGTCGCTCATGGCTACTCTCCAGTTCACCCTAACCACCACATTATGCCAACTGCAATATAATCTGGATTGTGTATGTCATGCATTTAATATTCCATCCAGCGTCAAGAAACAAAATTCCCACTTACCAATTGGTCAAGGTTTAGCTCCTCAGTACTGGGCTCTCTACCAATGGCCCATAAGAGACAATCAACATTCTCAATGGTGTTCACAGTAGGTTTTTTATTAGGAAAAGAGGATGTAACTGTTATTGCCAGGAGCCCTGAAGCTGATTTTGTAACTGATTGAATCTGTTGAGAAACAAGATTATTGAAGAATGCTAGAGCAAGATCACACAACAAATTGTTCATTTTAAGGCTCAAACCCTAGTTTTCTTCTTCAAAAATACCCTCTTTACTAAATGTCTATGTCTTGTGAAGTTACATATATCTTATGGCTAGAATTAGATAGTACTGGTAGTTCTTGATTTACAATCACAATTGGGACCAGAATTTCTGTTGCTAAGCAAGGTGTTAAGTGACCCATACCTAATTTTATTACCTTTTTGCCATAATTGTTAAGCAAATCACTGCAATTGTTAAGTAAAACACACAATCATTAAGCAAATCCAGATTTTCCCATTGAATTTTGCTTACTGGAAAATGGCAGAGAAGACCACCTTGGGATGCTGCAACTGTCATAAATATGTTTCCAAGAACCTTAATTTTGGTCATGTGACTAGGGATGCTGCAACAGTGTAAAAGTATTAAAACTGGTTGTAAGTCACTTCTTTCATGTCACTATAACTTCAAACAGTCACTAAATGAATGGTTTTAAGTCAAGGATTACGTGTAGTGTATGCAGTTTTGTTGAGAGACCCCACTTGCATGTGGGGTCTCTCAAGAAAAAGAGCAAAGGTAAGTACAATGGCTCTGAAGTTTCCAAATGCCAGAAGAGACATAGATACGTTTACAGGATAAGGCTCAAATATCTTGCGTTGGTCATGAAAAATTATAATTACAGAGTGAAGAACCATCACAATGGGTGATGTGCAAAACTGCTCAGTTGCCAGTTTTGTTAACTAATTTCTCTTTATATATACTCCTTTGTTTAAGTATGTTCAAATCTGTGTAAACTAAATCTATTTGGCAGGATTGTTTTTTTATGCTTCTCTAATGTCCAAGGTTTTTTAAATCTAACTCTCAAATGAAGTAATGTTGATTGGTTTGTGTTTTAAATTGGAAGACTGTTTTTGATTCAAAGTTCATGGCCTCAAAGTAGAATTTTACTATAATGTTATTGTTATATATCAATCAATTAAATATTTTTATAGTTTTTAACCAGTCTAAAATAAGTAAATAAAACTCTGACATAAAATCCTATTGGTAACATCCAGATAAAGCTCAGGGCCTAAATAGTTTGTCACCGCCTCAATTCTTACAAAGCAATTTGATAGTGAGCAATGCAGGTTATTAATATGTAATTCTGGTTACAAGGAAAAATCCTTAAATGTAATGATAAAAGTATAATAATGCAATACTGCTTTTAATCTGTTCAGGAATGCTGCAAAAACTATCAATACAATAGCTGTTGTTCATTCATGAGAAAGAAAAGCCATATGCCCAATGATGATTTGTTTTTGCTTTCAAATGGCAGCATTTCGATCATTTATACACATGCTCAAAAGAATAAAGCTAAGCACAGACTCTCAAAGTCATATTGTTTTGAAGTTGTTAAAGCAACAGAACATAATGAAACGGGAGCTTCCAATTGCAGTTGGAATGATTTAGCTGCAACTGAAGAAAAATTAAACATACAGATAGTCCTCAAATTACCACCATTCATTCAATGATCACTCAAAATTACACTAAAGGTAGTGTTGAAAAAATGGTAGTTCCACATAGTCCTTGTAGTTACAGCTGTTGCAGTGCTCCCATGGTCAAAAAATCAAAATTTGGGCACTTGGAAATTCACCAGCACTTATGATTGCAGGGGCAGTTCAACTGACCCCATCTGCCCATCATTCCCTTTTCTGCCCTTTTAGCTGCCCTATGTTCAGTTGGCCATGCCAGCCCACTGGCTGTATCAGCCAGCCAGCCTGCCGCTCCTGTTGCCCTACACTTGCAGGCCCTGCCACCCAGTCTTGATGACTTTCAACATCTCCCTGCCACCGCTTATGAGGTGCACTTGGCTTGGCCCTCCACAAGCAGCAGTAGGCCACACCCATCTCTTATCCAAATCATGAAACCTTGTCACAACATTAGGAAGGCAGGTGCAGGAAAGAAGGTCCAGCTGTGCTGGCATGAAAGCATTCAAGCCCATACCCAATTTGGTAAAAAGTGGATGTGGCCTTGGGAAGAAGGCTGGGGCAGCCGGCAGTTGTCTTGTAAAAGGCCAGGCTGTGTGTATCTCATCAGTGGTCACAGGAAGAGGATAGCAAATACCAGCTGGGCGTGGCAAGTCTGGGAGGACCAGCGAGCACAGGCTGGCAGAAGTGACAGAGTGCAAGATGACAGAGATGTGGGGAGGGGGGAGATAGGTGGGTGGGAGGAGTTGAATAGTCAGTCCCTTGGCTTGCCAAGACACAAGGCTGAGAGGGACTAAGCCAGGAGTTGTTTGGATCAATTCTTGGTTAAGAATTGATGGGATTTGGTTAACGAGCAATTCGGATTTCCTGGATGGCTGTTGCTAACCAATGTGCTCACGTGACATGCTTTACAACTGCATTGCTTAGGAATGGCAATTCCAGTCCCAGTTGCCATTGTAACTCAAAGCCTACCTGTACATGAAAATTCAAAATTATTACAATTCAGCACTAAAGAGATATTACCTTGCAATGTTTCCAGACTTCTATTCCATTATGTTCCAATTCTTGAGTGCAGTTTGAACTGATCATAGAATCAAAATTTCTCAGCACCTGTACAAAAAATACTTTATCAGACTGCAAGTAAAGGTCTTTACTAACATTTAACTATGGTAACTTCCTTTGTCATTAATTAATATCACAGAACATCTAAGTCATGCCCTCACAAGCCTGAACTCAAAAATGCAAATTTATCTCAAATTTATCCAACTTTACAATTAGAAAGATTGTGCAATGCAATCTATGAATGATCCACTCCTGGTGTAAATATGGACACAGACAAACTGATTCTACCTTTTTGCAAGGTTGTATTCTGCCTGTGGATGTTAGCTCCAACAAAAACTGGTAGTACTTTCAACTGTCACTTAGGAAGATGAATAAGCAAGTGTCCCTTACCTCATTAAAACGTATCAATAAGGATGTCCTGGAGCCTAATGCAGAAAGAATACCAGCTAATTCAACAGCTATATATCCAGCACCAACAATAACACTTCGCCTAAGAGAAAGAAAATGGATTGAGTCATATCACTCAGATGCATGTTCTCTTCCACAAATTTGCTTATTGAAATATATATTGGCCACACCAGGAAGTCCAAACTTCTCCATATGTTATTGGATTCAAATCCCATCATCTACTTACCATGCTGATGAATAGGCTTAATGAAAGCAGTTAATTCAATAACACTTTTGATGCTTTTATTGCTTTCAATAATTCTTTTAATGATTCAATTATCATGAATGTTTATGTTTTGAATGGTGTTCCCCCAAAAACCTTCTGATTGCAGTGGTGTAAAAGTCTACCAAATACCTAAAGGGCTATAGCTGTACTTATCCAATTTATAATTTAAGCAATTAGATTTTGCATAGGAGGATCCTGACTTCGCATTCATTAAATCAAAAAGGATAAATGGTAATGGTTAAATCAACACTGGGATAATTAGCAAGAAGGGAAGATTTGCATTTATATTTGTTGGAAAGAAAGGAATTACAAGAGAATAAGCAAGCACACAATAAGAAATACACATCGAAAGCAATGCAGTGCTGCCAGCACACAGCCCCGGGTATTCCCCATTATCTGCCTACTTATTCTCTTGTAATCCCTTCTTCTCCAATCTTTATGAGGAGAGTTGAGAGAAAGAAAAAGGGTCAATCAGAGGAGAAATTGTCTAAAGAGATTGCTTATTTAGACAACCTACTCTGTTTGTGTGGGGGAGAATGGATCAGGTACAGGACAACAATTACTGAATGCATGGTTGAGAGAGAAAAATGCTGCGAAAGTCATAAATGTATGCCTTGGTTGTAAGTTATTTTCTTTCAGCACCATCTTAACTTCACTGCATGAGGCACTTGGTATGGAAGATCTATCTATGCATATACATCTTATATTTAAAGGTAGACAAAAGGATCTTGCCTGGAAAAACAGTATTCAGTCTCCACTTCCACTTTGAGGGATGGATGGGGAGCCCCACCACCACTGCCATGACTTCTCACTTACAAATCCAGGCTTTTAGCAAACATTGCCTGCTTGCCTGCTTTTTCTCAGCCCTAAAGAACTAGCCTTCTACAGCTAGGGTAACAGCATATGCAGGATGTTTCTCAGATATTAGCAACAAAAATGAAAGGAATATAAGGACAGATGAATTCACCTGCAAGTTAATTGTGACCAAGTAAGAATGGTAGAAAAGCCACAGTACTTTACTTCATTCCCTGCTTTCTACTCTAAACAGGTTTCTGATCACCAAATAAGCAAAAATGAGAGAAAAAAATAATTTTTTTTAAAAAGCACTGCATTCCCCTCCAATTTCTTTACTGGAAGCCAATATCTTCAATAGAAGCTTATTTTGTTTGTTGACAGGAACACTGACCATGTTGGGAAGTTGACATTCCCACAAGTGAACAACTAAAGTGCACTAGCTGCACTGATGTCCAATATCTACAGCACAACTGATCATGGGGGCCTAGGGCCCTGCAGCCAGATGCTTAGCAATGGGGTAATCCTTCAATGGGAGTATTTGTTTTTCTTGTTGTTGGTTTTATGTGCTGGGTTTCCTTCCAGAGTTCAAGTTGGTGTGCACAGTGCTCCTTCCCTCTATATTTCCCCACGTTTTCCTCTAATTTCCCCAGAACAAACAGCACTTCCTGCCTTCATCCTATTTCAGTAGTGGGCTAGAACTGAAATAGAGAAGATGTTTCTGCTGCAAAAGGTAACACTAGAAGGGTGCATGATGAGTCCCATATCTGGACTGATAAGAGGTCATATAAGACCGTTCATCAAATCTGAAATGTAGGACAATTACTGCAGCCTTGTAGCAATGCTAGTTTGCTGTCTACATCTTTTACTTGTAAAAAATAATCTTCACTGCAATGCCACAAATTGAGAATATTTAAAATGCTCAGAATTCATTGCAACTTACTTGGGCAACTCTTCAAGTTCAAAGAAGCCATCACTAGAGATTCCCAAACTGGCTCCTGTAAAGCAACAAGACATTATCTTCAATATTCATCATCTTAAGCTTTATGTATAAATAGATGTAACTTGCACAAACAGTCACTTTTTTGAAAGATTATTTAATTGTTTTTTAGAGTATACTAAAAAAGTATGAGTGAAATATTACAAGGCAACTATGTACTGTACTACTGAATCTTTGGCAATGCTAAGGAAAATATTTTAATGTCAACTCAGCTGCATGCTCTTTCTTAAAAATAGGGCAAAGAACATACCTGGTATTTCACTTTCACTGGGAATTACAGGTCGCCCACCAGTAGCGATCAGTATGTGAGGTGCTGTATATTTTTTGCCATCAACTTCAATTGTAGGTTCAGGATCAGCTGTGAATAATGCATGCCCACGAATGGTTTCCACGTGGTCCTAGCAAAACCAGTTGTTGATTTAAAAATTAAATCAATTTATATACTAGAGAAGAAGGGCATCTTATAACATAGTGTAATGTGGGCGAGTGTATGATGCATTTAAATAATTGACAATTCAAAATACATTTGTAGATAAATTTCAAAAAAAGAAGATTAGAATAATAGAATAAGATGCATTATTTTACTTCAGATTAATCTCACATATTTTCTTGACAAGACCTAATTCCTCTATTGTGTAATCCTTACACCTTTCAGAAACAAACTATACAATTCACAGCATGGCCTATCAAGACTATGAAAATTATAGATTTGAAATGTAGGCTAACTGCAATGAATTAAGATATGCCCTGTAAGTGACCTGGAGAGGACTCTTTTTCTCAAGAGAGAGGGGTAAAAGTTGTCTTCTTTCTTTAACTCTACTATACTTATTTTACATATACAGTTTTACTACAGTTTTAATGTCTGTCTCATCTTTAAACAACAGGAAACTAAAATCTGTGCAGAGGAAGAGTTGCTCATCTGTCATTTAAGCAAAAAAAAACAAATTTTACCCAAGTGATTTTCTCTTATTTTTTTTTTTAATCTATACACCTCGATGCGGATTAAAAAACTAATCAACACGGCTTTCTGTTTTCAGCTTGTGAAATTCACAGGGTTTATAGCAGAAAGAAGGAATTTAAAATTTGCTGAAGTGAAAAATAAGGCCATTTACAAACCTTATTCAAATTATTTTGATAGATCTCATTCAGTTTCTTCACATAAGCATCACGCTTTTCTTTAATTATTCTATAGTAAAAAGAGTTTTATTAGTATTATATCCTACTTTTCCCCAAGAAGCACATAATGCCCCTCTTCCAACCTATCCCCACAAAAACAAACCTTTTGGGTAGGTTGGGCGGAGAGACAGCCCAACCCAAGTACCCAATGCATTTCCACAGCTAAGCATAAAGTTGGGTTTCCCAAGCCTCACTCAAATTGTTATTCTTCATGGGCTTTCTAGGTTTACATCTCAAATAGCTACCTCTCTACAAACAGGATTAAAACAACTCTCTTTGCTCCAAATCTTCATAGGTACCTTTTTCCTAAGTAATAAATATAGATATTATGGAGAAAATTATAGTCCTGTTTCACAATTTAAAATGTTTTCCTTGATGTTTATACTATCCTATTGCACATTATACATCACACAAAATAACATTTGTTTGCTGTATCTAAAACAGCATTTTAGACAATGCAAATGGTGTATCTCAATGTATACCACAGGGACCACTACTGTCAGAGCAAACCCTAATATATGAACTATTTATAGCAGACTCAGAATTAAATTCTGAGCATGTACTGTTTTTTCATAAGAGTCCCAGTCCAATCATGATTTCTTATAAGAATTTAACAATAAAGCTCACAGATAACTCAAAAATCAAAGTGAGATTATTTAGAATAAAAACAATATTTTTATATTAAACTGTGAAGCTTAAATTATGAATGTTAGATGGTACATAACTACCAGTTTTGGTCTATAATGGAGATTCTTCAGACCTGATAGAGTGTTAGAATCTCATAGATAAAAAAAAAAAATCTGGATATTTGTGTCTGAAAAGCTTCCTGGAAGTCATTTTAACTGATATCGTAGTTTTCAACTGTAAATTTCAAATTAGAAACAATTCTATCCATTTATTTTACTTAAGAGGTATTCCAGAATTAGCTCAACTTACTTCCAATTAAACTTCACATCAGCTATTTTAAAACCATAATCCATATGATCATGGATGAATTCTGAATGGACAGCAGTATTCCACATCACCTGTTGTAAAAGAGGACATCCAGAGTTTAATATAATTAATATAAAAATGAATGAGGAAATTCAATTAATTATTCTTGTATACAGCATAAATCAATATTTTATTCATTCATTCATTCATTCATTTATATTTCTACATTGCCCATCTAATCAAAATGACTGCAACAAGAGAGAAGAACAAAACTTGAAATTCCTACTCTAAAACATGGGACTGGAGAAGATCAGGACATATAACTCATCATTGTCATGATACATGTAATCCAGTAGATACACTACATATTGTGACCTATGAAGAAGCAAGCTCCTTGTTTCATAATCATTGGCAGATGGCAAAACAGTCATATTTTTCAATACCATGTGTGGCTAATGCACTATGTTCAGTTGTGCCTAATGGAACACATATGGGCCTGGCCAACCAATTAGTTCCTCTGCATTTTGGAGGAAGAAGAGGAGGGAATATGCAATACCTTCTTTTAAGTTCAGCCTAATAAAAGGAATTTGAAAGTGGTCAATTTCTTTCAAGAAATACCATCAAGATCAGAATACTATCTATTTCGACCAATGTAAATCTTAACTGTAGAACATAAAATCATAGGTCTGGAAGGGACCTCAGAGGTCTTCTAGTCCAATTGTTGCTCAAGGCAGAAGATTGTATATCATCCCAGTCAAGTGGTTGTCAGTCTATTTTTGAAAACCTCCAGTGATGGAGCACCCACTACTCTGGAAGGCAAACTCTGCTAACTAACCTTTCCCACTTCTAGTCTGCAGGATTGATATCTTGTTTACATTGGCAAAAACAGTTTGGGGACATTTTTTAAAAATTTAAAAATGGTGTGTTTAATGGTGTGTTCAGCAGCCAACAGAATGAAAGGCATCATCCAGCACCGGACAGAGGATAACAGGAGTTCCAAAAGGGCAGAATAGACAATCCCCATTTATCTGTTGCAGCTGTTTCAAAACTGTGAAGGTCAAATAGTGGATGGGGGAATCAGATCAGGGTTTTTTTCAACTGGTACCAATTTTAAATTGGTAAAATCATTGAAGTTTTTTAAATCTCATATTTTGTCATTTCAGTACAATTACTGTACTGCACGCAATTTGGATTATGTTAGATTTCCATATGAAAATGGAGATTTAATAAATTAAATTTTCTTTTCAATTTTAATGTTCCAGGCATCTGCTCCTCAAACCAGGACTAAATTTAAAAAGCCATGAAAACAGTTGTGGCATTGAAAAAAGGCAGCAGAAGTAATGTTTCATGACAAGAAGTACATCCATGTCTTTCTTGAATCTTGAGAGAAAAAGTTATGAGGTACTTTTTGTGATTTGGCATTTTTGTTAGGTATTTTGGTACAGCAGAGTAAAACAGCAACACTGTTCTTCAGATGTCTTACAGTACAAATAACAGTATAACAGAGTTGGAAGGGATCTTGGAGATCTTCTATCCCCTGCTCAAGCAGGACACCCTATACCATTTTCAGACAAATGATTGTCCAGTCCTTTCGTAAAAGCCTCCAGTGATGGAGCAACCACAACTTCTGAAGACAAACTCTTTTCACTGGTTATTCTCACTGTTAGGCAATTTCTCCTCAATTCTAGGTTGCTTCTCTCCTTGATTAGTTTCCATCATTTCTTGTCTTGCCTTCTCCCCTCTTCTTTGTGGCAGCTCCTCATATATTGAAACACTGGTATCATGTCACCCATAGTCCTTCTTTTCATTAGACTAGAGAAACTCAATTACTGCAACTGTTCTTCATATGTTTTAGTCTCCAGCCCCTAATCATCTTTGTTAATCTTTTCTGCACTCTTTCCAGATTATCAACATCTTTTTGATAATATGGTGATCAAAACTGGATGCAGTATTCAAAGTGTAGTCTTACTAAGGCTTTTATAAAGCAGGACTAATACTTCACATAATCTTGATTCTATCCATCTGTTAATACAGCCTAGGATTGTTTTCTTGCTCTCTAAACATGGCCAATGTCTGCTAAAGTACTGTTTTGCATTCCAAATCAAGAATGGATATACCCACCAATAATTTAAAAGCAGATTTTAGCAGATTTTAAGAACTAGTATCCATTTTCATGTTTTTATTTGTTTTTAGTAAACACTCTTCTATGGCACCACAATCAAAACAGTTCAGAGGCTCACTGTCCAATTTTAAAACAGTCCTAGAATACCAGGGAGAAAATAAAAGATGGCAACATCAAATCAATTCAGGGAAAAGTTCTCTGAAACAGCCAGGTCTTCAAGCACTTTCAAAATGTCAGCAAAGAAGTTCAATGTATTTTTTGAAATATTAGCAAATTCATTGCATAAATTCCTTTACCTTTTTAGGTACACACCCAACATTCACCTAAAAGAAAAAAAAAACATATTTACTGTAAACATCATGAATCAGTATTTTTAATATAATGAAGAACAGTGTTTAGAAAATGTGTATGACTACTGAAACTGTTACTAATTTACAAATAATTTTATTTTCTTAATATCAGCAAAATGTGCATCATCTTGATCAATAACATAGTATACTTAAGGTATTTTTCAAGAGGGGGTTGCATTAAAGTGCAGTACACTGAAATCCCCCTTAATGTCTAATATTAGGGATAAAGGAAACATTTTATTTTCACTGCAACAAGATCCACAGGAATAAATTGGGTGAACCTGAGAATGTCATTGGGAATATGGATAATTTAAAAACTACTTGCATCCTGCAACTCATTAGCCTGCGCATTAGCTCTTAATCATAATATAATAAATTTGAAGCACATTTCATTATTTAGCTAGGTAAATATTGGGTTGGTCAGTATCTGGTTAGGGTCTGCATGAGTACCTGTCTTTCTAAATATCTATGAATAGTTTATATCTGATTAAAGTTTGCATGAAAAAGCACCTTTTATCAGGCAACCTGAATAATTTGCCTGCCCCTTGGTTTCTTCTTGAAGAGAATTCTTGCTAGTTCTCAAAGCAAGCCATTTTATAACCCAATCAACACATTCAACTGACATTTTTATTGATTCCACTGAATGCCTACATTAAGGGCATTCAGAATTTGTCTTTATGGATGTTTCATTCTAGTAAATTCTTTTCCACATTGGACTCCTCCAGATGTTGCAATCGCTTCTTGATTTATTACGTGCCTGCAAGTTGGCACAGGCTGTTGATTGCCACATTGATCTTCTCCACGATCAGCTCTCTCTAATCTGCTCCTTCACATCTAACTCCATCCACCTTGCTGCTAATCATCCTTTTCTCTTTCTTTCCACGGTTTGCAACATTATGTAATTTCAACATCTTCCAGCATTGCCAGCAAACACAATCAAAGGATGGGAGCTTGAGAAACTACAGCCTCACAACTTTTGAAGATGGGTTATTAAACTGGGGAAGGCTGCTCTATTTAATGACATAACACAGTTTAGAGTTAAGTACTTTAAATATACATTCTAAACTTTACTCCTTATTTAGCCCCTTTCTTTGGAATTTTATTCACTCATATTTTGCATCCTTGCATCATTACCAAATCATCAGTTTTAATATTGCCAACCCATTCTTTCCACAACTAATTTGACATTTTTCTTCAACGAACTGTAACCGACACCAATAAGCACCACACCACATCTTTAATGTTTGAACTGTTAAGCTTTTTAAATTAATTTCTTCAGGCACAATCTATTTTCCTGCTTTGTGTATAGCATGATGGGGGACTAACAATTACCATTATCTCATAAATTAGAGGAAGCTATAATTACAACTGGGAAGAAATAAAGTTTAACACTTGGGAACATTCTATGATCTGATACAGAACAACTTGTTACAATCAAAAAAGGACCCATGGATAATAATGTTAAATTCCTTTTAAAGGCATCCCATAGACACGGAAGAGATAAATAAGAAATGTATACTTAAAAATATCCCCCCCCTTCCTCCTTGAGATATAGAAGGGTAAAGCCAGGAAAGACACTTAGGAGGAAAAAAAAAACCTGCAAAGAGCAAAGCACTTCCTGAAATTTCGGTGAAAACTGAATTGGCACAAAACTGATGGGTTCTACTGAGCCACATTCCACTTGCCTTATCTTCAGGGTAAAAAGAAAATTTTTAAAAAGTATATTAGCTGCAAGATGAGATGATATGTCATAAGGCACGGAGTTGCAGCAACACAATTTAACCCGGGGGAAAAACAACCAAAAACCCAGCTGCTGTATTCACATAACAGGCTGAAACAAAGGCTGGGTTTCCCCCAGCCACCTGAAATCGCAGCCCTATTTAGACTTAGAATAACTTTATTGTCACTTTGAAACGTAGGCCAATCGGCATACATTAAAATGAAATTTGGTTGCATACCGCTCTCAAAAGGATCACCACCTCCAATTTCCGCCCAGCGTGCTAAGCGAACCCAGAATCTCAGAAACAGTTTCAGGAAAACCGAATAAAACACTGTTGAACTGTTTCTGCCCTGCCCGCTCACGGTGTGTTTGGGTGAAGGGGGAAAAAAAAACTTCCCTGCCCTCGGGCTCTTGCGGAACTCACTGCCTTGGCATAAGCCCAGTCGGGTATGCCTACCCTCCAGGTATGCAGGCGAGCCTCCTCGGAGTATATTTGCAGGCATTCCCCACTCTCCTTCCTCTTCCTCCTCCCAACCCCAACCCCGTTTTCGACTCACGCAAGTGCCTCCAAGTCGCCCTTTTTCAACCACAGCAGCCCGGACTCCCAGTTGCGCGGCGCGTCGGGCACTGGCCAACCCGCCCGAGCCGCCCCCCAACACCAGGTAGTCAAAGGTGGTGACCGACGAGGAAGAAGAGGCACGGAGTTGGGCCATGGCGGCGGCGCGACGAGAAGGACGGAAGGCAACTGGACAGAAAGCAAAGCGAGGGCGAGGCAGCCGCATCCCGCCTCTTCCCTCCCCGGGGTCGAAAGGGTTAACTCTCCTGCCTTTGGCCCGGGTCCCGTCTTACGCTACCTCGAGACGGGCAGAACTCTTCCAGCCGCTCGGATTGGCTGCGACATCCGTCAATCCCCAGCGGAGGCCCAGGAGAGAAACATATTCCGTCTCGGAAGGAGGCGCGCGCGGGGAATTGCGGGGGGGGGGGGGAGGCGCGAAATGACTGGTCATCTTTTGATGACGGCCTCGCTCTCGGCGGGGTTTTCGTGCTGCTGCGTTCGAGGTTTCTGCTTGCGCCCGTCGGTGACTTGATTGGAGGGGTGTAAGGATAAGCGCAGAGCCACCTTCTAACCAGAAATGGTGGCTTGGGGTTCTTCTCCTCTTCCTATAGCCAGATGTTGAACTGCAGAGAAGGAGCGCAGTCCCTGCAGCCGGTGGGGGAGTGGAAAGCTGATCAAAAGGAGACGCCGAGCGCAGAGAATCGCGCAGCGGGGATACAACGTAGGCAACCCAGGTGTAGGCGCACGTAGTGTGCAAATGCAGAAAGTGGAGTCAAGTAATCGCCCGGGTCGGGCAAACACAGCATAAGTGGTCCCAAAGGTGCTTTTTCCAAGAGGCAACTGGACTTTCTGGTTTTTCTTTGAAAGACGTTTCGCTTCTCATCCAAGAAGCTTCTTCAGCTCTCTTCTTGGATGAGAAGAAAAAAAACCAGAAAGTCCAGTTGCCTCTTGAAAAAGCATCTTTGGGACAACCATGACCTGGATGACTGAGAATATAGACACAGCAGAAGTAGTTCTTTTGTATACTGTAGAAACTTTGATCTTAGCAAGGCAGGAAACCGTCTTATTTTTTTATATTTTTCAGCTTCATCTGGATAGTCTTTGCGCACCTCGATTTTACTCCGGGCTATTACATACTCCAATTTCCCCAATTAGTAAGAGGTTTTAAGTTGGATAAAGCTTTTGGAGGTTTCTGTGATATTTAATTACAAAAACGTCACAGATGAAGGAGGCATGCGCAATAAACAGTCCGGTAAGCATCAGGAGAGATGCCACACACAGGTTAAAGTATGATCTTTTCCTTCATTTCAAAAAGAGACTTCATTTCTTTCTACTTAAAAGCTTTTTGGATTAAGTTTGTTTTGTTTTAAATCACACTGTTACCTATCCTCATTCTCAAAAAGGCAGGGGAAAATGTCAAGTGACCTTTACTTATTCATTGGGATTACATTAGAGTTATATTCTGCCTTTCGTTGGAATCTCAAGGGAGTCTATTTTGTGCTTGCTCCTATTTTTCTCTGGGACAGCTCAGATATGTTGGGCTGAGAGAGAGGGATCGCACTGTCTGTCATTTATAACCCTAACCCATATTATGCAATCACTTCTGTTTTTTTTCCCCTTATACCTGCTAAAGGAAAGACAGAATTGCATAACCAGGTTTGGTTTCCTGAACCTCCCTTTGTTCTACACTCAATACAGTACATTTTTGTTAAGGTTTCAGTGAATCAGTACTAACCAATGACTCAGCAGGAAGAGGCCATGTTAAATTATTATACACGGTGCAAATTAGAGAGACTGTGTGGAAATAACCAATTGCACAATGCTGTTTGTCCAGTAATACTAGAAACCAGCCACTGAATCTTTCCATTTTTAGTAGTAAGGATGGTAAAAAAAATATTTCTCAAAATACCATCACATTCTAAATGTGTTTTAGGAAACCATATTCCTTCTAGTTTCCAATATAAAACTTGTTTTTCTTGTCCTTAGTGCTCAGTGAGAAATTATTTACCAACTATACTGAGCCACCAAGTCGATAGCAAAAGTCTTGATGATAGAAATGCATTCCAAATGTAGTATTTGAGTATATCCAATTAAGAATGAAATCACACAATGTTTCAAATTTGATTGCAACTTAAGCTCTTCATCAGGGACTCTAGGAATATCTATATTACCTTGGTGCCTAATGCAAGGTTCTACAGTTCTTTGTTATGAAAAGGTAGCAGGAAAAAAAATCACTTTTTCTTCTGCTGCTTATGACTTTGCAAGAGGCAATCTATTCATGTGGGCTTGGACCGACTGCTATTTCAATGTCAGCCTCCAAAGTTGGAACACTCTTTTGAAGATCAGGAAATCTTAATATATGATAATAGAATAATAACAGAATAACAGAGTTGGAAGGGACCTTGGAGGTCTTCTAGTCCAACCCCCTGCTGGTGTTGGAAAACCTACACCATTTCAGAGATTGGACAACCATTTTACTGCAACTGTCAAACATATAAATGCCAAAATATAGGTGTTATGGTTTGTTATTAAAATATTTGTCCCTTTTTGGATTTTCTGCTTTTTGTACCTTTGCCATTGTTGGATAACTTTATTTTTTAAATAAATGTCATAAATACCAAATTTCCTTGTTCATTCAGACTCCATTTATGTATTAGTAGGAGCCACTTGAGGGTCTCTAATGACATTTAGTGGTAAATTTTTACGATTTTTGTAAAACAATTTTTTACAGAACTATATATGTAACAAATACTAGATGACCAAATGTCTTCTTGGCTTCTTAATCAGTGGAGAATTTAATCCTCTTAATCAGTCAGCATATCTCTAGTAAAGGCTGCAGTCTTCAGTTGAAATATCATTTCAAAGAGGATAGAATATTTAGATCAGATTGGGGTTAACTGTAGGGGTGACAATTTAATATGAATGTCTTATTGTTTTCTTTGTATATTTCATATTTTTGATATGGTCAAATGACTAACATTTCTATTCAGTGGAAATAGTTGCATACATTAAAGACTGAAGAACCTAAAACCATATGTAACTATGGAAAACAGGACCTGATAAGTAGATTTTAACCAATTAAATTGCGAGCACTACAGAGTTGGAAAATGAGGCATGGCAGAAGTGTTTTTTATTGTCAAATTTAATTAGACAATATTTTATTCACTCGTTTTTCCCCAAAGAATAATAGAAGGTATAGGCTTGACACCTCAATCTAATTATGTTGTTTGCTAGTTATAGTTCGTTAAATGCATAGAAGAATAGCAGTAGTAATCAATCTTCGCAACAGACTCATCAGTCTTCCTCATTCTTAGACCCTCTAAACACACAGTATTACCATTTGCAGAAACTCCAGCCTTAGCCATGCTGACTAGAAATTATGGAGAGTTGAAGTCACCTCAGGAAGATACAAGTTGAGAGAAGGTTGATGCATGGTTTGTGTTTGAGATCAATCGCTTGAATCCAATCTTCTAGTGATTCTTGAAAAGAGTAGAGACTGTTGTGGCTCTGTTATCTGAGCCTGTGTCATCAGCAGGAGAGGACTCCGAGAGTGAAGGAGAGGAGTTGGCAAGGCCTCCCTCTCCAGGACCCTCCTCTCTGGCAATGCCTTCGGTGTCCGCCGAAGGGCAAGAGATAGGGCCGGGGCCAAGCACGTCCACGCAGCCACAGATGGACAGTGATGAGGGTAATGAGTCTTGGCTGGATCCACGCTAGCGTTGCAGAGTTAAGCGCGCGCAACAGAAGAAAAGGCATGCCCGAGATTAGGCTGAGTCACTGGACCACACCCTACATGATACAAAAGGGAGCGTGGTGGCCAGTCAAACCTTGTGACGAACAAAGCTGAAAGCTTCCACGCCATTCTGCATTGCCGGACTTTTGGCTATAGACTTTGCTGGATTATCTCTGGACTTGATTGACTCCGTAATTATTGAGCTGTTTCTTTTGATGTATCAGAAGTGGGGAGAAGTTATCTCTCCTCTTTGTAAATAATAAACTCTTGGCAGGCAGCCACTAGGTTGTTGCCAAGTTCCGTTATCATCAGGAAAAGGATTTTGCCGGCTGGTTTGGTCTTTAACTCTTGAACGTCTGTTGGTGTGTGTGCGTGTGGTTGGGGACAGAACAGACTGTTGGCATGTTAACGGTAACAGTTAGCAGTTCCTGTTAGTTCATTATCACTACAATATCATATGTTCTTGTTTCTCTTTGATATCCCCCACTTCCCCCACACACTACCATGTGTATCACTAATCCTACAATGTTGTACTTAGTTCAATTTCATATTTAGATCCTTATTATCCCTGTCATGTGTGCATTTGCCCTATATAATGCCTGTAACTGTTCTACCACAACTGATCTACTATTTCCATGTTGTCTCAGAAGTGTCTGTAGGATCTGATGCTTTCATCATAATGACCAAAACAGTCACATCCCTTCGTATTTCATGTGCTGTACTTCCCTTTAGTATCTGCATGCAAAATCACAGTGCCTCTACAAAAGGGGATGAACTGATGGCATGACATTGTTTTCTCATTTTCTTTTCTTGGACCTCCTTTTCAAGACATCCAGATTCTGTTTATGTGGCATGAAAGCCAGGAGATATTGTGCAAATGACATCATTTCATCTAAGGACTTATTGATGTTTTCTTCAAAGCAAGACAGGTGAAAAAGGGTGATCATGGATGATTTTGTCATTTTCCATTAAAAAATAAACAAAGAAGCAAAAGACTCAATAGCTGTTGGCAATCCAGTGTCTTTATGGACAATGTGTGGTGTACAAAAAAGTAAACATGCAATATCTATACAGTTTATTAGATATCAGTTAGTGGCAGAACATGACTAGGATCTGGGTTTTCTGCTGCCAAGGGATAAACCAGACTTCGAAATCGCATGTGAATTTCTGAGGGGGAAAAAACAAAAAAAAGGCATTAAATCAGACAAAAGAAAAAAGCCAGAAAATTGTCTTGACCGTTTTACAATTCTATAATCAGCTGTTTTAAAAAGAGACAAGAATATGTTGTATTTTTGCCTGGCAGTCAGTGTGATAGTAAGTGACTTATTGCAATGTCAGCTTATGAAACAACAGCTTTCAAAGGAATTTTTCCACCTAATTTATTCCAAGAATCATAGGGAATCAGGTGGCATATGCATGTAATAATAAATATTGTACAATAAAAAAATATTAGTAATATATATATTCCTTCTAATACATTTTAGAAGGATATCCTGTGCAGAAACAATTTGCTCCATCTTTCTTTTGCATATATGAACACAATTTAATTCCTTCCACCTCAGTGACAGGATACTGCAATCAAAAGTAGTTCCAGAGCAGAAGAGGTCTCAGCAAAAAAGCCATCTATGTTGTTCTTTTCAAACAGGTGGTCCTTGGTTACTGGCCACTTGTTCAGCAATATTTGGAGATATGTTGGTGCTGAACTAGGAGACTTATGACCAGTCCTCGAAATTACATCTATCGCAACCTCCACACCAGGGGTCTCAAACTCAAGGCCCCAGGGGCCAGATCCGGCCCGCAGGGTATTTAGATCTGGCCCACGGGGCTGCCCTGGAAACAGCAAAGGACTGGCCCGCAGTGCTTCTGCCAGCAAAAACGGAGCTCCCATTTTTGCTGACGGGGTTGCAGGAGGCCATGGCAGCTGAAAACGGAGCTCAGGAACCCCAAGCAGAGCACTCCCACCACCACAGGTGCCTCCGACATGAGTGACATTGAGCTGGCCATGCTCATTCTGGCCATGCCAACCCCTGTCCCCGGAGGTCAAACACAACCCTGATGCAGCCCTCAATGAAATCGAGTTTGACAGCCCTGCTCCACACAGTCATGTGATCATAATCTGGGTACTTGGCAATCAGTCCGCTTTCCAGACAGTTGCAGCATCCCCTGGTTGTGTGATCGTCATCTGTGACCTTCGCTGCTGGCTTCCTATAAGCAAAGTCAATGGGGAAACTGGCAGGAAGTCATAAGACATGATCACATGATTTCCTTGCATAACAATTGCACGGTATTTGCTTAATAGCAACTGGAAGTACCACAACTGCCATCATAAATTGGCCCAATCACATGAATTTCTCATGTTTGCTTACACTCTTCTAACAGCATGAAAAAGAGGTTTCAAGACCATTCTAGTTAAGAATGTAGCAGGAGATAGCGCAAGATTGTTGTTTCTGCTAAATGGCAAAACCTAGAATTATTAGTTGACTCTGAAAAAAGATTGCATATTCAAACTGTTAGGGTTTAATCCCATGCAAATTAATTGTGAAGTAGCTCTTCAGTTGTTGCTACTAGTTGTCCTCTGCAAAATTCTGGACAATTGGTAGAAGGCAATAAGGAGACACGGAAAATTATTGCTCTTTGCTGCCATCTAATGGTTGTCCAGATTTTCACAGTCCAGATCTGGTACTGTAGCACCCTGATTTCTTAGAACAGCACAAAGAAGTTGAACATATTATACTTTTCTCAGCATCTTGTTCTTCTGGAAATCACATCTGTCCAAGTTGGGATGTGGTATTCTTTTCCTGCATACAGTCCGGCAGATATCGACATTCAGTCTATATTTCACTCCTTTCACAATCTAAAAAATAATAATCAGTTTTCATATTATTAAAGAGCACTGAGATCAGGCGAAGTAAAGAGAACAAAGGCCAAAGAGAGGTCAAAAAAATTTGGGGGGAAAAGGTGAGGAAACTGGAGGCAATTGAGAACACGCATCCTACTGAACACAAGTTGATCTGCAAATATTTTGTGTAATTATTTTTAAAAATAATTTCAAAGGATAGAGGCTATGATATCAGAAAACAAATTCTTGTCTATGCTAGGTCTATTTCCTTGTTTCCAAAAACAATCTAGCCAGGAATTTGGAGAACGTTGGAACAGGTTTCTGGTTTCACATCAACCCAAAACAGCAACAATAAAAAAGTATGATTACCATCTGGGTTTATCCGGCCATCAACACAGCTGTGACAGCTGCTGGACCAAGACATAAACAATAGCTTAGCTTATTTCTTTCAGAAAGTCTGAAGCAAGAATACAACCAATGCCTGAAGCAAGGGTGGTTTGAAGGAGACCTTCCATCTTGCCAGGTGTGCAAGGAGAGTTTTGCAGCAGTGAACGCCAGGCCCTCCTTCTCTTTGCTCTGGACCATGGGTGGAGCTCTAACTACAAAAGGAATAGGCTGATGGCATCTGAGCATGGGTGGGTGAGGAGAGCAAAAGAAGATGGAGGTGAAAGGGTACAGCAGCTGCTAGGAGAAAGAGCAGGGCGGTTAGTGGTAAAGAAGAAGCTGGGATGGATTCCAGCACACCAACATGGGAAGAAAGGGGAAGCAGAGCTGTTGTAAGATACCGTCCTTCCCTCCCCCTAACTCCAGCTGTAAGACTGTGCAAAACCAATGTTTCAGCTGCACTCAGAATAACAGCTAGTAGTAACAGACCCAACGGACTTCAATGTGGTTAAAAAATTTGTTACAGCCCAGGCAACAAATGAGAAAAAAATATTTATAGGACTGTCTGTGTTAGTTTATTGTGGTGGTTGAAATTTTCCGATTTTCATGAACTCTGATTGGCTAGAAAAAGGAATAAACAAACAGAAACAGAAACAAATATTTGTTTTTGATCACTAGAGGGAGCTATGAAGATGTTTAACTCTGAACTGGAGTCTGTCATCAAGGAAATTTTAATTGATCTATACAGAAAATTATTTATACCATACATTAGTTAGGGTCCAACTCCAAGGATACTAATTATACAGAGGATATTAAAAAAGAACAAGAGACACAATTAGGTGCAGAAAATTATGAACTGTATCAACTCAACTACAAATGCTGGACAATGCAAATACCTGAACAGTATCTTTGGAATATAAATCTGACACCAGCTTATATTATGATGATGGTTTGAATATAACCCTCTCAGTGCAACTGAAACAAGAGTTCCATGTACATTCACAACTTTTAAGAGGTAAAGTTTGGTACTTTTTCTTCATGGATATTAATAGGGTCAATAATTCTTTGAGGGGGAAAAAAATATGATAGACATCATAGAGAAGGAGACTTTATTCTACAAGGAATTCCTCCAGGTTAATCTACAACATTTAACAGAACAACTTTGAGACATTTTTTTATGGATATAAATAAGATTGGGAATTTCTTGAAGAAAAGAGATTTGATAGACACTCCTGAGAAGAAAAAGATTTCATTCTGTGAAGATAAGCTGACTTAAATTTAATGACGTAATTAAATAGGATGGATTTTTATAAGTTTAATATATGTATTGAAAGAAAGCTTTAAGTTAGTTTTGTATATATACAATGAGTTTGTAAATGCATATCTTCTGTCTTTTTATGTAATGTTGAATAATTCCAAAAGTTTGTAAAATATACTGCTCAAAAAAATAAAAGGAACACAAACAGAAGACATCTGAGATCTGAATGAATGAAATAGCCTTATTAAATACTTTGTTCGTTACATACAGTAGTTTTGTGTTCCCTTTATTTTTTTGAGCAGTGTACTATTGATTAAAATTGAAAATAAGAGAAGAAAAAGATTTACTCCATGAGGATAAAATCAAGAGAGAGATTTTAATTCAATGAACTAACTGGAGTTAATTGGATTTATATTGGTGCGAAAGCTCTAATGTAGTTTTGTGTTTTGGGTTCTGGGTTAAAATGGTTTCTTTTCCCCCTTTATATATAATCCCTGAATATTTTTAGTAAAGTTAGTAAAATATCAAAACTAGAAAAAGTGTTTTCTTCGTTTAGAGTTAGAAAAAAATTGAAATAGTGTAGAGGATTCTCTTAATATGAAGTATGATCAAGATTAATGAGTTAACAGAAGCATATATTATTCCCCACAGCAAAGAGAAGTAGAGATGGTCAAATTGATACTTTTATCCAAAGAAGAAAATACATTTAACCTTGTTTCTATTTTGAAATTGCTTCCAGATTTTGGGCTTGCAATGAAAAAAAAATATGAATCTTTGATTATTATTATTATTATTTTGCTAATTAGATAGGTTTATTGTTATAGAAATGGCTTGTACATACTGTTGTATAAAATGAAAAGTTGTGGTTGTAATGTTGTCATCTATTGTGCTAAACAGGAAGTTGGTGCCTTTTTTTTTCCTTTTCCCTCTTTACACCATATCTTTTTTCTTTTCCCTCCCCCTCCCCCTAGTTTTCTATTACTTTTTAAAATTTTTGTTTGTATTTTATGTTTTGATAAGCCAATCAAAAAGTTTCATTGGAGAAAGGTGGGGGGGAAAGGACTGTCTATGGAGCTTCTCAATCACCCAGGTCATGGTTGTCCCAAAGGTGCTTTCCAATAGGGAACTGGACTTCCTTGGGTTTTTCCTTGAAAATGTTTCGCTTCCCATCCAAGAACTTCAGTTCATGAAATAAAGAAGCTGTTGTATGAGAAGTGAAACATTTTCAAGGGGGAAAAAACTCAAAAAAAAGTCCATTTATCTTTTGAGAAGCATTTTTAGGACATGCTAATAGGGCTCTTCATGACTTAGATTCATAAAATACTTAGGAATAGGTAGATATTAAATTATTAGATTATTATTATATTAGATTAGGCATTAGATTCATAGCACTGATGGGCAGCATAGAATATGTTTAGTGATCAGGCTAAATTCAAAGTTAAGAAAAAGCTCTAAACTCCTTAAGCCTTTTTTGCATATTAAAAGCCTCCTTGGAAACACAGAGAAGACAACACTAGCCTCCTTATCAGTGACCTGCACCATATCTCAAGGGGAAAAAATAACCCTCCCACTAGGACAGGAACAAAAAAGCAGGTTATGTTTTGCATTTTTAATCAGCAAAGGAATGAACTGCATTTATTGCGATAAGAATCAGGCTGTACTTACCTGTATTGTGGCTTTATTTATGCGAGATTCTTTGAACAAAAAGATATCATTTGAACTGTTGTTGTATTTATAAATTGCAAGCCTAGCAGCTCTTTGAACTTTGGGGTCATTTGCCTTTGCAGGGAAAGGAGATCCAGGCAGAATCAATGAATGATGGGACTGCCCAGGGGCACCTGTGCAAGAATAACAATTAACAAATGGACAATTATTTTAAACTCTCAGCCTGGGAAGAAATATTTTATCAGATGATTTATTTCTTTTGATAGAATATATGTCTTAATGCACTACACACACATATGAATACCTATAGTGTCCATTGTGTCCTCTCAAAGTTCAAAGAGAGTACAGGTAGTCCTCAAATTACAACCACAACTGAACCCAAAATTTCTGTTGCTAAGCAAAATATCTGTTAAGTGAATTTTGCCATATTTCATGACCTTTTTTTAACTACAGTTGTTAAGTGAATCACTGCAGTAGTAGTTACCGAGATGGTTGTTAAGTGAATCTGGCTTCCCCATTGACTTTGCTTGTTAGAAGGTTGCAAAAGGTGATCACATAACCCCTCCAGGGCACTGCAATCATCATAAATACGAACCAGCTGTCAATCATCTGACTTTTGATCACATGACCATGGGAATGTTACAATGGTTGTGTGAAAAGCAGTCATAAGTCATTATTTTCAGTGCTGTTCTAATCTTGAATCATCAGGAAACAAACTGTTCTAAGTTAAGGACTATCTGTGCACTTCCAGAAATCCTAAATCTTAGGAATGAATTACAGGGGCACACCCTCATTGTAAATTCCAAGTAATGTATAACAAGCCAAGAACTAAAAGATAGCTCCAAATGCAGTAAGCTATTTAATAGATTTTTGCATTTAATGTGTGTGGAGAAGGGTTAGAACTTTTCAAAGCACAGTATCTGATATTGTGCCCTTGATATCTCAAGGGCAGATATCAGATATCTGACCTTGAGGAGTCCAGTAACAAAATATTCTCCAATCCCATTGAGCTTTGAAAAGGTTCTAGATTCTTCCCTTCTCTAGATTGTCTTAAAAACTCATCGATTTCCCTTTCCTGCAGGCTGAATGGTATCTGTTGGGGTTATAGTGATTTCCTTCATTAGACGGGGGTTTAGGCTGGATGTCTCCAAATTTACTTCCCTCCAACTCTGCCTCCAACTTTGGGTTGCATGGGCAATGGCAAGAATTAAGAAGGATTATGGGAAGAAAATGCGAGGAAATTTATAAGCAAATTATGGGTCAATGTTTCAATTATACCTCTGCCTTATACTTTGTGGTGGTGTTTGCAGAACACAATAGTTGGTTTACAGAATGAAAGCCGTTGTCTGGTTTTCAACAACTCTCAACCATAAACTAATCACCTTCGCTAAATTAAAATAGCACATTGAATTAAAATGCAGTTGCTTACTTTGTGGTTCAGTTTGCCTGTGAGCCCAGCCAGCACTAGACCATAAGTAAGCCTGTTTTGCTTGTTGTTATCAGTAAAACATACTGCAGTAAAACATACTGTATATGCAACTGAAAATACTAAGTAAAAGAATTTAGTGGGTGGCTCATTCAAGTATCAATTTGCATCAGCATGTACTGTGTTTTCTCTTCCCCTGAAAAATGTCACTAATGCCCATATATTAAATATTCCTTCTTAGCATCTAAAACAACGTAAATGTCAGCGCTACACTCTATTTCTAATGTAGCTTCATTTAATTGTACTTTAGACAAACACTACAATGGAAGGAGCAAGTTAACAATTTATCAAGCCCCAGATCATTTTTAAGCTTCCTGCCTCTGCTTTTTCTGTGCATTCTCATTTGATGGTTTATTTAATTGGTTTTGTTGGCGATCGTACAAAATGAATCATAAAAAAAAAATGCTGCGCTTTTCCATGGTAGAACTATGTATCATGACAGTAATATAAAATTAATGACAGCACAGCAATATGAGCAATGAGAACCTTCTAGCATAAGAGACTTCTAGAATCTCTTATGTCACAAAGACACTCATCAAATTGTCATACTTTTTTAAAATAAATTTGTTGAAAAAACAATCCACCTGTTTGAAGGACATTTTGCAATGGCCCCTGGCTTTGGAAATGGAATTATTCAACTGTTTGCTATCATAAGCTAACTATCCACTCAATATTAAACAGCATTAGGAAGATCAACATTCCCTTTGTTATGCAAACCATTCAGAATATTTAAGGTACATCCTGATCTTACCAGTTGAAGAGTTGGGCACACCATAGAGAAGCAGAAAGCAAAGAATAATCACCCTCCATCCAGAGAACATTGTTGTCTTGCTTTACCATAAACAGAATTGGAGCAAAGTGGCAACTTCGTACCTTCACCCAAAACAGGAAACGGGGATTTTCACTGCCTGTTCAGAAATTCTCATTGGTCAGGAACAGCCTGTGTTTTAAAAAAAAGATATAACTTCTGTTAGCTTCTCTTTTTTTTCATAACTCTGATTAACAGTTTTACTGGGTAGTTTTAGAAAAGAGTAAAACAAATGCACACAGTGGAATAATTTGCCTCCAGGAATGGTGCTCAATTTGTGCTGTATATTGTGAGCTGGCAGATAACTATCCCACTTGGGAAGTAAAAAAAAAAAACTTTTGTGGAAGTCATTAGGACTGCAATTGCAATTTCTGGGTGATTTCCTAACTTCTGCATAATTGCCTTTGCAAAATCCATACTTTTTTTCAGAACAGAAAAGGAACTGGTGGACAATTGTAACACACGGTTACAAAACTTGGTTTGTTGGTTTGAATGATACCCCTACCTTTCTTATAGGAGCTGAAAGTAACATTCATTTTCCCCCAGAAATGCAATCTTATGAAATAGGTTGAGATGAAGGACAATGAATTCACCTATTCTCAGACTGGTAGAAAATTATCCTGGTGGCCTTGAAGTTTTCAGATTTCTGCCAATCAGCTGACATCTTTCCAAGTAAGTAAGGGAGCTTAACAGATTTTTATATACTTTGAGGCTGGTTTTGGAACTACTCATTAAGCAAAGAAATGGTCAATGTGGTCTCTTGAAGTAAAGGAGGAGGAGGACCTTATACAAGTCCTCGACTTACAACAGTTCATTTAGTGACTGTTCAATAAGTTACAATGGCACTGAAAAAAATGACTTTGACTGTTTTTCACACTTATGACCTTTGTAGCATCCTCATTATCATGTGATCAAAATTCAGATGCTTGGCAACTGACTCATATTTATGACCTTTGCTGTGTCCTAAGGTCATATGATCACCTATTTGTAAACTTCTGGCAAGCAAAGTCAATGGGGAAGCCATATTCACTTAACAACCATGTTACTAACTTATCAACTGTGATGATTCACTTAACAACTGTGCCAAGAAAGGTTGTAAAATGGGGCAAAACTCATTTAACAAATGTCTCACTTAACAACAGAAAGTTTGGGCTCAATTGTTGTCATAAATCAAGGACCACCTGTAACCTTTGAATGGTCAGCAAATTTATTACGGCATAAACTTCTATACTGCAGTTTACTGAATGAGTGAAATATTTTGCAGACTTTATAAAGGTACAAAGGGGAAATGATAATATAAATATTTAACTAACAATTCATTCAATAACAACTGGAGGATATGTACCCACTATATAGGCTCATTTTACATGAGATTCATGCTACTTGATGTTTGTTATTATTGATAAATTGAATATGTACAACTTTCTCAGAGTCAACTAATAATTTCAGTTCTTGTAATTTAGCAGAGATAATAGTAACTTCTTAAAGTTAACAAATGTATTATGGTTTCAAATTGGCCTCTCTATTCATTTTACATATATTTAAAGTTTAATTTAATTGTATTTTGGTATATGACCCCTGGTGATGCAGTGGTTATAATGCAGTACTGCAGGCTACTTCTGCTGACTGCCGGCTGCCTGCAATTTGGCAGTTCAAATCCCATGAGGTTCAAGGTTGACTCAACCTTCCATCCTTCCAAGGCTGATAAAATGAGGAGTCAGATTTCTGGCAACAATATGCTGATACTGTAAACCGCTTAGAGAGGGCTATAAAGCACTGTGAAGTGGTATATAAGTCTAAGTGCTATTGCTATTGCTCATCATCATCTAACTTCATGATTTATTATTTCTCCCCTCTTGGACCATGCAAAGATAACCGCACAATGCACTGATCTAGTGCATAAAAACTAATATCAGCCCTCCCTAACTTGGTGCCAGAAATACTTAGCTCACAACTACCAGAATGTAAAGAAAGCATAGTTTAGAATAGATGATAGGATCTAGAGGGAATGAAATTGAGGAAGAGGAATGTACGACATAATACATTTGTTAACTTTAAGAAGTTACCACACTATTGTCTCTACTAAATTACAAGAACCAACATTATTAGTTGACTCTGAGAAAGTTGCACATATTCAATTTATCAATAATGACAAACATCAGGTAGCATAAATCTCATGTAAAATGATCCCATAGTGGGGAGATAGTCCTTCAGTTGTTGTTGTTGAATAATAACTCCCTACATATCCCCTTACTTTTAGTATTACCACCACATGGTGACAAAGGGAAACAGAAAATGTCCAGATCTCATTGTATCCCATCCCTGACTTATGAAAGCAGCAGAGTTATGCCTGTACATAGTTAACTTGATGTAATATGCTGTTCTTCTGGAAATCACATCTGTCCAAGCTGGCATACTATATAAACAACACATTTCTTTTTTATGCCTTCACAATCCAATTAAATCACTTTCCATCTTACAATACAAATAATAATGCAGAAATAATATATCAATGCAGGCTTTCATAGCCAGCATCAATCCAATAATGATGAACCTCTGGGCTGGTAGACCGTGGTCTAATTATTTGGTATTGGTAATATTTTGCCAGTAACTGTGACTGACATCTTCAAAGGGAACAAATGGTCTCCTCTGTAGTGCACCCCTTGGCAGCTCACAGACATCTGAACAGGACTGAACCCTGATGTTTATAAAGAACTATTGTCCAATTGGAGTAAGTCATTGGAATTATGGACAGCCAGTTGCCAATTGGTTCTTTATCCAGGTGAATTTGTAATTGGTCTGATTTAAAGATGTTCCAAAGCAACCATTTTTTGATTGGTCTTTGAAACATGCAGCTGTTTATTTTACTACTGACGATTTTATATGAAGTTGATTAATTAAATGCTGTTTTATTATGGTGTGATATAAACCACACTTTATCAATCTTCAAACTCTTTTCCTTCACGTTAAAGTTGTTGAAGTGCTTATAAATCTCAATACAGGTAATCCTCGACTTACAACAGTTCACCTAGTGACTATTCAAAGTTAAAACGGAACTGAAAAAAGTGACCTATAACCACTTTTACACTTATGACCATTTACACTTATGACCACCAGCATCCCTGTGTCATGTGATCAAAATTCAGATGAATTCAGATGTCAACTGACTCATATTTATGACAGTTTCAGTGTCCCAGGGTTATGCAATCATCTTTTGTGACTTTCTGACAAAGTCAATGGGGAAGCCAGAGTCACTTAACAATCATGTTATTAATTTAACAACTGCAATGATTCACTTAACAACTGTGGCAAGACAGTTTGTTAAATGGGGCAAAATTCCCTTAACAAATGTCTCACTTAGCAACAAAAATGTTGGGCTCAGTCATGGTCATAAGTCGAGGACTGCCTGTAGCTTCTCTATGGCGTTGTGCATGATTTGTCATGATTGCTAGTATTTGAGTATCTTTAAACTTAGTTTTTTTAGATTACCTCAGAGTTCACATTATCCTGTAAAATCGTGTCATATTTTAGCTTATCAAATAAACTTTTAGTTTCATAAATGATTGGCGAGAGTTTTAACGATATTTCTTTTCTGGCAAGGATGAGGGTAAGACTTTTTATTTAAATAGTGATCTATATGTGTTGCCTTAAAATATACTCTGTCTCAGCTGTTGAATTTTTTTCTTTTAATGATTACAATGTCCAAAAAAGCAAGTTGGCATTCCTTATCCTCTTCCACTGCAAATGGAATATTTGGCTAGATGCTATTAAGATGCTCTAGATCAGGGGCGTCAAACTCGCGTTGTCATGGCGTCATCACGTGACATATCATGACTTTTCCCCCCTTTGCTAAACTGGGCGTGGCCAGCGTGTGACACATCTGGCCCACAGGCCATGAGTTTGACAGCCCTGCTCTAGACATTTCTTAGTTAGTTTAGTTTAGTTTAGTTTATTTGATTTGTATACCGCCCTACTCCCGAAGGACTCAGGGCGGTGAACAGCCAACAATAAAATACATAAATACACAAAATTTAAAAACCCGATAAAATCAAATTAAATTATTTGGCCCAGACAAATTAAAATGCCCCAATAATTTAAAAACAGATTAAAATTTACGTATTTAAAAAGAGAAGAGATCAGGCCAAGCCCGCTTGATGGAATAAAAAGGTCTTCACAGCACGGCGGAAGGAGCGCAGATCCGGGATCCTCCGTATCTCCGGGGGGAGCTCATTCCAGATGGTAGGTGCCCCCACAGAGAAGGCTCTCCCCCTAGGGGCCGCCAGTCGACACTGTTTGGCTGACGGCACCCGGAAGAGTCCCTCTCTATGAGAGCGTACTGGCCGGTGGGAGGCTATTGGAGGTAGTAGGCGGTCCCGTAAATAACCAGGCCCTAAGCCATGGAGCGCTTTAAAGGTGGTAACCAAAACCTTGAAGCGCACCCGGAAGACCACCGGGAGCCAGTGCAGCTCGCGCAGGAGAGGTGTTACATGGGAGCGCCATGTCGCTCCCATTACCACCCGCGCGGCCGCACTCTGCGCCAGTTGGAGCCTCCGGGTGCTCCTCAAGGGGAGCCCCATGTAGAGAGCATTACAATAGTCCAGGCGGGAGGTGACGAGGGCATGAGTGACCGTGCGTAACGAGTCCCGATCCAGAAAGGGACGCAACTGGCGAATCAGGCGGACCTGATAAAAAATCCTCCCGGTCACGGCCGTCAAGTGCTCTTCTAAAGACAGCCGTGAATCCAGGAGGACGCCCAAGTTGCGAGCCCTCTCCGTGGGGGCCAATGATTCGCCCCCAATAGTCAGTGATGGCGTCAACTGGCTATATCGGGACGTCGGAAACCACAGCCACTCGGTCTTGGATGGGTTGAGCCTGAGCCTGTTCCTCCCCATCCAGATCCGTACGGCCTCCAGGCACCGGGACATCACTTCAAGGGCATCGTTGGGGTGATCTGGGGTGGAGATGTACAGCTGGGTGTCATCAGCGTACTGATGGTACTCCACCCCGAAACCAGGGATGATCTCGCCCAGCGGCTTCACATAAATGTTGAACAGGAGAGGTGAGAGGACCGACCCTTGCGGCATCCCACATATGAGGGGCCTCGGGGTTGACCTCTGTCCCCCTGTCAACACAGACTGCGACCGGTCAGAGAGAAAGGAGGAGAACCACCGCAACACAGTGCCTCCCACCCCTAACTCTTCCAACCGGTGCAGCATGATACCATGGTCGATGGTATCAAAAGCCGCTGAGAGATCTAACAGGACCAGGACAGAGGAGCATTTCTTGAGTTCTTCCTCAACATAAATCGTTGTCCACATGGCAAAACCAGATGGTTTTAAAGGTGCGATGTCCAGTGCCCATTGTTCAAATTTTCCATATAGCAATTGGTTATAAATGGACTCTATGGCTATTTTTGTTGTTAGTTACAAAGTCATGTCCAACCCATTGTGACCCCATGGACAACGTTCCTCCAGGCCTTTCTGTCCTCCACCATCCTTCGGAGTCCATTTAAGCTCATGCCTACTGCTTCAGTGACTCCATCCAGCCACCTCATTCTCTACCATCCCTTTCTTCTTTTGCCCTCAATCTTTCCCAACATTAGGCTCTTCTCCAATGAGTCCTTCCTTCTCATTAGGTGGCTAAAGTATTTGAGTTTCACCTTCAGGATCTGGCCTTCTAAAGAGCAGTCAGGGTTAATTGACTATAATTGGACTCTGGGCTGCCCATGGTAACACCTTCAATTTGTTCACAGAATTCATTGTTAAACAGAGGTGTAACTAAATAATAGGCCATATTTAATTCAAATATTTAACCATATTTGAATGCCGCTCCCAATTTTCTGATAAGGAAATTAAACACAAAGTTGGCAACTATAAGAGGACTCCTCTGCTTGATTTAACAATGTAATGCTCAATGATTAGTGCCAAAAATCAGGTTTTGTAGACTACAGGATCTCACACAAACCCATATTGAAATCCTACACAGACAGAAAGACAGAAAGATGTTATTGTAGTCCATTATTATTCTTGCATAAGGACAAAATGTTGAAGTGGAATATGGATAAAAATAATTGGAAACACCTCAGTTGTTTTTGAATCAAATCTACACGGAATGGAAAAATAAGATTTTAGCATGGAAAATAAATGTGGACATGGTATCCAATTAAAAACACAGTAAACATCTTCCTCCAAAGCCTAGGGCTAGTCTGCAAAGTATTATTTAATTATGCTCATAGAAAACTTAGTTTCCAGTAAAGATGACTATTTTTTCCAAGCTTGCAAGCATCCAAAACTTTTTCCATGATGAGAAAATGAGAGGTCATAGGTAGCATTTTTTTAAGGAGAAGAAAAATAAAATTTCCAAGAAGGCTAAATTCCCAAATGAGAGGTTGAAAGAAAATTAGGATGAGGCATTCACAACTCTGAGCCACCAGAACTCTGCACTGGTAATCCTTATCTTGCTACAGGCAAGAGGCCATCAACAGTGGTTCCTCATACAGCACATGATGAAGAAATGGATTGGAGGACACTCCAGCTTTGTGTCCCCTCCCACCTTTCATTAAATACAGCTTTACCAACCAATAGGAAAACATTCCCCTATCATCTTAGCATGAGATGGAGAGGAGGCAAGTTTGAAGGATGGACAGTTCAACATGTTTAGCTATCTATCAAAATTCACTCCAGGATTTTTGTAAGTATTTTGCCTGCATGAGTTAAAAAGTAGTCTCACTAACAGCTGAGATATGCTCTGGAGAGGCTGTTTGATGAGGAAGGAGGGGGTTGTCCTACTGTTCTACGCAACCTTCCCCCTACACCAGTGGTGAAATGCAAATTTTTTTGCTACTGGTTCTATGGGCATGGCTTGGTGGGCGTGGCTTGGTGGAGAGGTCATGTGATTGGGTGGGCGTGTCCAACTTTTCTTTACTTTTTAAAGCATTTTTTTACTACCTATTCGCCTGAACCAGTAGTAAAAAAATGCTTTATAAAAGTAAAAAAAAAGAGGTTCCGACAATCACAGCTGTGTCGCGTGATTGTCAGAATCTTTTTTTCACTTTTTTAAAGCATTTTTTTACTACCGGTTTTCCCGAACCAGAGCAAACCGGTAGCATTTCACCCAGGGGTGAAATGCTCCCGGTTTGGACCGGTTTGCCCAATCTGGTAGCGATGGCAGCAGGCAGTTTGGAGAACCGGTAGCAAAAATCCCTGGGCCCCCCGCTCATGCCCACCCAATTGCCAGGTCCCCTGCTTGCCCGCTTGGCTGTTTGTCGCTCGCTCACTCACTTTTCCTGCCACTCAGTACTTCCGCTTCCACCAGTCATTTTTCTAGCCACTTGGCGCTTCCTTCCGGCCCACCTCCGGCCTATATAAGTTTCCCTTCCTATGCAGCCGATCTACTTTGCCCAGACGTTCGCCTGGCCGCTTGGACCACACCTCGCCTCATTGACTGCTGCTTGCTCAAAAAGGTAAGCTTTGCCAGTTGCAGCCTAGCATGCCGCCGCCCCCCCCAATCCCCAGCCTCGCGTAGTTTGCGCAGCCGCCAGGGATTGTTTGCGGGCCTCGTGCTACCTCCCTAGTCCCCAGGTCCCCGTGCTTGCCTGCCTGGCCTGGCTAAGCCGCCTAGCTAACCACCCACCTTCTCCCCCCAGCCTCCAGCTTGCTTACCTTTACTCTTCTGACCAAATCCCGAGCCGTGGTTGCAACGCCTGCCTTGCTTTGCTTGCTGTAATCCCTGCAATCCATTGTATCAGCAAGCAACTGAATCTCCCTGCCTGCAATCAAGCTCATCGGTGAGCAGCTCTATCTGCCTGCCTGCCTGCCTTGTCCCTTCAATTGGGTAAGTTTTTTTCCCCTTTGGGAGCTTTAAAAAAATAGTTAATTGGGGGATTTTTAGTTGTTCTTTTTTTAGACCTAGCCATTTAAAGTTTAGGAAGTTTTAAATTTTGCTGCTTTTATCTAAAAATAAAAATAAAATAAAATAATATTTGTGCAGCTTTCTGAGATTTTGTGTGTTTCTGTAGTGTTTCACTCTAACTACACAAACACACAAAATCTCACAAAGCTGTATGTGGAATTTTGTGTGTGTAAAGTGTGAAAGTTGGTTTTTTGGGCTTTTTGTGGCTGTGTGAGGTTCCTGCTTGTTGCAGGGTCCATTTTGGGTCTAGCACAGCTGCTTTTACATTGTGGGTGAGCCAGTTGTGTTGTGTTGTGTGGTGTGAAAGTTGGTTTTTTGGGCTTTTTGAGGCTTTTTGTGTGCTTTTACATTGTGTGTCATCAGCTAACAAAACTGCTTTTTTTTCTTTTTGCAGTAGCTGCTGCTTTTAACAGGAAGGATGAAAAGGCAACAGACTTTGATGGGTTTCTTGGCCAAGAAACCAAAACTTGAACAACCACCAGCAGAAGTGGAACAAAAACCATCCCCTGTGCCACAAGCACCACCACCTGAAACCAAAGAAAGTAGCAAATCAAGTATAGAGTCACCCGCCGCACCAGAAATCAGAAGCATTCTTCCAGACTGCTGGATCATGCAACAGTACAACTACTTCCAAGAGAAGTATGACGGCTTGGAAGTTTCAAACAAGAAACTGGGTTGTACATACTGTGCGAAACATGGCTTCGCAATGGAGAGTGGTATTCATGTGTCCAAAGAGTGGAAGGTTTTCAAGATTGAGCCGGCTGGGAAAAACAAGGAAGTGCACCATGCGGCTCTCCGGAAGAAAATGAGAGAACATTTCGTATCGAAATCGCACATCATTTGTAGAGACAATGTAAAACAAGCTGAGCAGGAAGCCGTAACAAAAGCAAGATTTCTGAAAGGCAATTTGGCACCACTTCTAAAATGTTCAAAACTGTTTACAGCCTGGCAAAAGCATGCAGACCAATTTCAAGCATAGAGGAATTGATAGAATTACAAACTGAAAATGGATTGGATCTGGGAGTAGGATTGCATTCAAGGCCAACATTTGTGAAAATAGTTGAGTGCATTGCAAATGAAATTAAAACCCAAATGTTTTCCAGCATCATTGCACAGAATCTGAAGATATGTCTGATCATTGATGAAGCCTCAACAGTATCCTGCAAACCAGTTCTGATAGTTTTCTTAAAAGTTGAGGACTCAGAGGACCCACCAACTATTTTTGTCGAGCTTGTTGAATTGAAGAAACAAGATGCAGAGACAATATGTTCTGCAGTTTTTGAAAGTTTACATAAGGTTGGCTTTACCTGGGACTACCTACAGAAAAATTTGATAGCGTTCTGCTCTGATGGTGCCAGCGTTATGCTTGGGAGAAAATTTGGAGTGAGCACCAGAATAGCAAATGAGTTTCCAAATATCATCATATGGCACTGCTTGAACCATCGCCTCCAACTTGTTTTAGATGACGCCATAAAGGAAATAAAACAGGTAAATCATTTTAAAATTTTTATTGATAAGATATGCTCTATTTTCCAGCAGTCCAGTAAAAACTGAATTGAACTTGACAAAATATCTGAAGAACTTGAAATTAACATCATAAGGATTGGTCGAGTTTTTGGGCCAAGATGGGCTGCCTGTATTTTATGGGCAACCATAGCTGTGTGGCGTGCTTATCCTGTGCTACATCAATATTTTCATGGGAATGCAAAATACTCAGGTATGGCTGCCCATCTGGAAAATAACTATTTCTTTAATGATTTAGCATTGATGATAGACATTTTGGAGGAAATTTCACTTCTTTCAACTGCACTGCAAGCACGCAATACGGACATAATAAAAGCTGAAAAACTGGTGAGAAGATCAATAAAGGCATTTGAACTGCTAACAAAGGGAAAGGGTTCATATGAAAGAAAAGTTGAAGAACTAATTACCTCAGAAACCTTCAGGAATATAAACTTCATAGAAAACCATTGATCTGTTGGTCTTCATCGAGAAAGACTTTTACAAAGTATCATCAAAAATTTGCAGAAACGACTGATGGACTGTGAGCATTTAAAAACTGGAAACCAACTGCAAGACACCACAAGCAAACTACAGTTTCTATAGTTTTTGGTGCCAGAGTACTGGGATTGTGAGGAAATAGTCGTTCCATGGGCAGCAGCTGAAGAACAACTGTGCACATTTAGTGACATTTTCAACTACAACATTGACATCAACAATTATAGAGATTTTGTGGAAAATGTCTTAAAAAATTCGAAGAGGTATGCAATTCCTGACAGTATCAAAAAAGCAAAAGATATTGTCAGAACAATTGCAGTGAGTTCTGCAGAAGCGGAAAGGGGTTTTTCAAAAATGAACCTGATATGTTCAGAGAGCAGAAGTCGCCTAGCCGTTTCCAATCTAACCAACCTCATGACAATCAGCATTATCGGACTACCTCTTCCAAAATGGGACCCTATTCCTGCAGTGAAAAAATGGTTCAGAGAACACCATCACTCAGCCAATGATCCGTGCATCAAGTGCAAGAAAAGTGGAAGTGAGGAGAATGTCACTGGAACAGCTACGTGGAAACATCTCAAAGCTAAAGATAACAGTATTATGTAAGTATTTATATACCTCTTTTATTGTTTTTTATTGTTTTGTGTACTTCTGTTATTCTTATTTATGTATTAAATGGTTAAATTTGTATATCAGTTATATCTCCTTGTACGTCATTATTATCATTGGTGCAAGAAGTGACACTGAAGACATCATTTTTATTGCTCTTATGTAAGTATTTGTGTACCTCTTATTGTTTTGTGTACTTCGTTTATTATTTAAGAATTTATTGAATGAAATAATTGGTATATCTTCTTTTTGTAGGTCAAAAAAGGGCAAAGAAGTTACATTGACTTGGCCATGCCTGCCTGGCCACCAAGCCACGCCCACTGGGTCACCTGGCCACCAAGCCACGCCCAACAATTAAGCCACGCCCACAGAGCCGGTAGCGAAAATTTTTAGATTTCACCCCTGATTTCACCCCTGCACTACACCTGTAAGCTGCCATTTCAAGATGCATTAAACCCAATTTTAAAAATAGTTTAACAGTTGATACATGTATGGGACACTTTGTGGAACAGTATCTCCGTCTTGTTGTATCCCCAGGACCTCTCAGTTCTTAGGTTGCTGACCCTTCTTCCAAAGCCAGCTCACTGAGCTGGAGATCAGTTCAGAGAATTAATGGGATAGGGAAGCCCAGTTTGAAAGATCATTCAGACTAGAATGACAAGGACCAGGAACATTCTGAAGACTTGCTGGAAGAAAGAGATTGCCAGGCAGAGGTGGTATTCAGCCGGTTTAGACTGGTTCGCCCAAACCTGTAGCAGAAATTGCGGATGGGCCCACCCACCTGCCCACCCACCCTGGCTCTATGCCATCCTATTTAGGCATGTTTTTGAGGCAGGGTGCATGCGCAGATGGCCGGGTACATGCATGGATGGGGCGCGTGAGAGCAAAACATGAGAGAGAGCACACACGCTCACATTTGCAAACCGATAGGGAAAGTAAGTGAATACTACCCCTGTTGCCAGGGTATGTTTGTGCTACAGTTAGGTCTGAGTGAGGAAAGGCTCATGATTTTATTTTTAATGGCTTATTTTATTCTCTGAAAGGAGGAAAGGAGGACAAATTCACACTTCAAGCTTGGCCTATTGCCAGTAATGACCATTCACCACTTTCTGAGTACACGCATAGACGATGTTGTTCTCCTCCCATTCCCAGCTCCTTGCAAACACACTCCATGCCCATATTGTCCGTCTTTGATTCAAATTGGATGCTCTTCAACTGTCTTAAGTCTTCAACAGCTTGTTCCGGTTTAGCAGCAGCTCCACCCCCAATGAAGTTACAGCAGTATTGAAAAAAGTGATTTACCACCGTTTTTCACTACTGTTGCAGCATCCCCATAGTCACATGATCAAAATTTGGACGCTTGGTAACAGGCATATATTTATGATGGTTGCAGTGTCCTGAGGTTCTGCGATCGCCGTTTGAGACCTTTCGACAAGCAAAGTTAATGGGGAAGCCAGATTCACTTAATCAACCATATTACTAACTTAACAAACTGCAATTATTCACTTACCAACTGTGACAAGAAAGGTCATAAAAAGGAACAAAATTCACTTAACAACTTGCTTAGCAACAGAAATTTTGGGCTTAGCGGTGGTTATAAGCAGTGGTGGGTTTCAAAATTTTTTACTATTGATTCTGTGGGTGTGGCTTTGTGGGTGTGGCATGGCTTTGTGGGCGTGGCAGGGGAAGGATACTGTAAAATCTCCATTCCCTTCCCAATCGAGGGGAAGGATATTGCAAAAACCCCATTTCCTCCCAATCAGCTGGGACTTGGGAGGCAGAGAATAGATGGGGGCGGGGCCAGTCAAAATTTTTACTACCAGTTCTCCAAACTACTGAAAACTTCCACTACCGGTTCTCCAGAACTGGTCAGAACCTGCTGAAATCTCTGGTTGTAAGTCAAGGACTATCTGTATCAAAATATCCATTATGGAAATGTTGTTTACAACTGTCAACTCTGACAGGTTCTAATACACAATGAAACAGTGCAAGATGGATTACCCTTTTCTCCCCAATTTTTCCTGGTGAAAATGTCTTTCACCCCCAACTATAATCTATTTCAACTAATAACATCTCACTGTAAAAGAATAGGCTGAATACCATAGTTTAAATGGTCATTTCAAAGTCCGTAAAAGCAATACAGACAAGCATAATCCAACAGAGGGCAGTATTGTCCTGTCCAAACAGTTGGTTGCAGACCATGCTTGCATCCTTCCTGAAGCACATCAATAGCAATAGCACTTAGACTTATATACAGCTTCACAGTGCTTTACAGCCCTCTCTAAGGGGTTTACAGAGTCAGCATATTGCCCCAACAATCTGGGTCCTCATTTTACCGACCTCGGAAGGATGGAAGGCTGAGTCAACTTTGAGCTGGTGAGACTCAAACTGCCAAACTGCTTGCAGCCAGCAGTCAGCAGAAGTAGCCTGAAGTACTGCATTCTAACCACTATGCCACCACAAATTTATTTATTTATTCATTCATTCATTCATTCATTCATTCATTCATTCATTCATTCATTTTGTCAAGCATATATAAGATAACAGGTAAAAGTATAAACATAATTTGAATAGAGTAAGTAAAAAGGAATATTAGGACAGGGACAGTAGGCACGCTGGTGCACTTATGCACGCCCCTTACCAGCCTCTTAGGAATGGTTTCATATATCACATAAGTTCACATTTTCCCATCCTTGTAGCTCTTTGGAATGCTGGTTTACATAAGTACAGGGCTGGGCAATGCTTGGGAGTCAAAGGGGAAAGGGTACTTTGGAGTATGTGAGGGCATTGATGTAGCAATAGCAATAGCAGTAGCACTTAGACTTATATACCATTTCACAGTGCTTTACAGCCATTTCTAAACAGTTTATAGAGTCAGCCTATCGCCCCCAACAATCTGGGTCCTCATTTTACGAACTTTGGAAGGATGGAAGGCTGAGTCAACCTTGAATCAACTGGTCAGGATTGAGGGAATCGAACTCTGGGCAATGTGAGCAGAGTTAGCCTGCAATACTGCATTCTAACCACTGGGCCACCATAGCTCTTATTATATGTAGCCTTTCTCAGCAATCTTCTTAAAGCAGCTCTTCCTTTTCCTTTGTGGCTGCAGGTTGATGCCTGCAGAAGAGCTGACAGGTGTGACAACCCTTTTCTGTACTTGTAATACAGAGCTCAAGAAAACTCAAGATAAGCAATTAAAGAATAAAGTGTCTCCATCCATTTATTAGATAATATGCAGCAGTTTATCTAACTGACCACTGTCCCCGATTTACAACAATTCATTCAGTGACCATTCACAGTTACAACAGCACTGAAAAAGTGACGTATGACCATTTTTCACACTTACGACTGTTGCAGTATCCCCATGATCATGTGATTTACATTTGGATGCTTGACAACTGACTCACATTTATGACGGTTCTCGTGTCCTGGAGTCATGTGATTCTTTTTTGTGACCTTCTGAAAAGAAAAGTCAATGAGGAAGCCAGATTCACTTAACAACCATGTTACTAATTTAAGAACTGCATTGATTCACTTAACAAATGTGGGGGAAAAAGTTGTAAAATGGAGCAAACACATTAACACATTTCTCACTTAACAACATAAATTTTGGGCTCAATTATGGTCATAAGTTGAGGACTACCTGTATTTCTAATAGGCAACTTCTGCTTGTTATTGCTAAGAGTAGGAAGACATTCAACTGATACAACTTTTCTCTGCATAAGTAGCATAGCAAGAGAAACAAGGTGGCAAACTCATTGTTGTTAGGAATAGTGAGAAAGTTTGATTGTGAGGAGCAGGTGGACTTAATTGCTCTTTTAACTAATTAAAGTTTATTAACAAAGGTCTCATTTAAATCTAGAGGTTATTTAAGTCTACTAAACTCTAGAGAGAGCCTTACTTTGGATCTATTTTTCTATGACAGCTGCTAAATATTACTTAGGAAACAGTACCTAGCAAGGTCCTTGTCTTTGTAAATGAAATAAATCAGACCTTGTCAGAAAAAAAAGTTATATTTTCTGATTCCTGAATTAGTGATATTTATATAAATTGAGTCTTGCATGTGGCATTTATAACTGATTCTGTTCTGGAAAGCAAGGTTGTCAGGAAAAGATACCCCCAGGAAAAGATGGCAGCTAATATTACACCTGTTAAGGGTGATTAAACTCTCTTCGGCTATTCCATTTCCCATCTTAATTCTGAAAAAATGTGGGATAAGCTGGACCTGATTTTTTTTTTTAATTCAGCATTTGGCAGTATTGCCAAAAAAACAAATACACTGTTTAAAAGAAAGTAAAAGAATACATTTTTAGAAGAAAAATAGGCTGTAAATGAAAATATACTTGATACAAAAATGCAATGTATCTCATTTTGATGATTATTGTCTAAATGTGCTGTCCAAATATTAAGTCACAGATCTTCCACCTTAAGCGGATGGACATTTTTGGATTTTAAGAAGACAGTGTTGTCATTCCTAAATGTAGGAAGACATTCAACTGAAAGGGGGAGGCCATTTGTAGAATGCTTGTGAAAGGTAGGGAAATAACAAAATAATAGAGTTAGAAGGGATCTTGGAGGTCTTCTAGTCCAACCCCCTGTTTAGGCAGGAAACCATACACCATTTCAGACAAATGGCTGTTCAGTCTCTTCTTAAAAACCTCCAGTGATGACGCACCCACACCTTGTCATTAGTTATGAAGCTTAGATTTATTAGAATCCTATCTGCATCTGGCTTAGAGTCCAGCTGGCATGAGTACAGAATAGAAGCTTAAGGATGCAGTGTGGATATAGAAGGAATAAATTCAAATTTGAGTTACCCACCCATTCTTGACTTTGCAACCGTGCATTGTTTATCTTTGCTGCCCCCACTGCCAATTCTTCTATTACTTCAGTTGCTTCCAGTTCCCCAACTTTTCTCCAAGATCACAGATGACAAAGCATAATCAATTTTCTGTATCTTGGGGCTGTTCTTTGATCCTTTGGAATAAGAGGGGGAAACACTACCATAATCCCAGTAGAGCTAACAGTGATTTAAGGCTGTTTCCTTAATGTGATGGGGACAAGATGAGGGTGAAGTCATGGAGGCAAGGGGAAAAATAAGGGTTACTTGGACTTGATTGTGCTGTGGTTAATGCACTTAGCCTATATCCTGCTGCTAACTACTCTGCTGCTGACTGTCCTTTGCATTAATTTATTCTGAAATAGATTGTCTGTATACTGGTTTCTGATACAGATTCCTTCAGTGTATGCTCCAATTACTGTATCTAGATTTATCTTCCCAACTCGCATTTGAGAGGCCCAAGAAAGGAGTAAAAAAGCCTGGAGAACTCTATTCTATTTGCACAGGAAATACTTTTAAAAATATGAACAGCACAATAAGAAAAGAGCACATGTTAACTTGTAGTTCCAGAGTCAACACTGGAACTACACTGGAACTTGTAGACATTTCAAACTAACATTGAGGATTTAAATAACAGTGCTATACACATATGGGAATATATTGCATTTAACTTAATGAGGGCAGCTTCTAAGTACAGATACACTGAAATCTGTTTAATAAACTACTTAAAAAAAGAGTTCAATTGTATTTTAACGACACATATTAAAATTGTTTGAATTCAACTATTTTTACAGTTGCTTCTGGAAACACTGTATTGAAACTTTGCAAATCACTCATGAAACAATGTACCCTACATTTATTTTTGCCTATTTACAAACTGCAAGTCAAAGGAGATCCATTTCATGATTAAGCAAGGGTTTTTCTCCCCCTCCCCATTTGCAAACAATTATCTGACCATCTTTAAGCAAAGTATGCAACTATCATGTGGCTACATCTAAAACATGAGTTCAGCCTTTAAGGGCCAATGGTATAATGATATAACTGCAAGTAGGAAAGAACAATATTTTGGGCTCAGGTTTTGATGGGAGTTAAGTGGGCAAATGGTTACAGTAACTTAAGGCACCAATTTCCACCTTGTGCTTTTCCCCAAAAGGTTTCCCCAACCTTTAAACCTTAGCATTTAAAACATGTTCCCAAAAGATGAAGTAAGAATTCTTGCTTCCAAATAAAGGCTCTTTATATTGTGCAGGTACAGATGCCCCTAGAAGGAGTTGCCATGAAAGCTCTACCTTTTCCACCTGGGCATTCCAAAAGTATCGGGCCTCAGTTCCCAGAATTCCAAGCTGACTGTAGACCTGGAAATTTTTTCCCCAAAACTTACAGCAACACTAGAGACTCTTACGGAAGAGAGCTCAGATTTGAACTATGGGTCATTGGTGCTGTCTGAGCTTGGTGGTTTTCTTGTAGACATTACATTACCAAACTAGGTAACATCATCAGTGTTCAATATGTGATGTTATCTAGTTTGATAATGAAACATTTGCAAGAAAACCACCAAGCTCAGACAGCACCAAAGACCCCATAGAGATACTCATACCATATTAATGTTTTGATCATTTGGCTTAATACAATGTGCCATTCTAGTAGAAAAATATATCTAAAGGAAAGTATGCTGTGAAAAATGAGCTTCAGAGAAAGATCAGAATATATTCACAAACAACATATGCAGAGGAATCAAACAATGTTTAACCTTAAACAGGCAGGGAAGAGACAGAGTGATTTTGATGGAACTAAAAAAAAAAGTCTGGAAGTATGTCAAGACTAAAGAAGAAGCATCCAGGAGCATGCCTGGAATAAAAAATAATTAAAAAATGGAATGAAATTGAAGTGAGAGAGTGATGGAAAAAGCAGTTTAGAGATTTGCATAGAAATCATTGTGATACTTTAAGGAGTAATACTGAAACAAGTGCACTAGGGGTTAGTCTCCAAAACACCAAAACCAAAAAGATAAATGAAAGTAATAAATGATATGAGAATGCTGAACAAAGGGCAGCTGGAAATAGAGATTATATTAAAAGTTACATTGTTGATACAGTTTACCTATAGAGGCTGTGGGATTTGCATAATGCGCAGACTGCATTGATGCCTGACAATTAGAAAAGAAGCATCACTGATCCCCAAATCAAAGCTGAAGGTATAGCAAACTGTAGTAGGCTCCCCGATCCTGGTCCATGGACCAGCACTAGTCTGCAGCATGCCAGCAAGCTGTCTATGTAAACAAGCGAAGCCCCAACCACAGTATACAGTCAGCACGCAAAACTACACTCCCTCTGGTCCACGGAAAAACCTCTCTCCATGGAATGGGTCCTTGGTCCCCAAAAGCTTGGGGGCTGCTGAACTATAGGGGAATTTGTTTACATGTGCCTCAGGAGGTCTTCAGCAGAATTCTGACTGACAAGGTATGAAACCTAACGATGAATGAATTTTTGGAAAGGCAGATTTTATGCTTAGACAGGAACAGGGAATGTAGGCCAGATTTTTATTCTGTAGCAAATCACTGCAAAGAACATAAATGTGAGAAAGGCTATTGCCCTTTGCTTGGTGAAGTGCGAGCAACTGCTAAATTAATTGGCTTGAATGACACTGTCAATTGGCTTGAATGCACTGTCTTATGCAAATAGGGATTTGATATTTGGTGGCTGAATAGGGTAACAGCAGTATATGATGGAATTAAGCAGATGCAAGATTTAATATGAACAATTAAAAGCTAAACAGGAAATAGACAAGGAGGTTATGATATCCCCTTAGTTGTTTAACCATTTATGGGTCAATGTATAAGGAAGGTTTCTGGTGAAGGTAGAGCTTAGCTGGGGGGAAAAGTGAAAATATGTAAATTGTAAACCAAAGGAGACTGTGTTGTTAACTGGGACACTGAATGATTTGCAGCAAATTATTTTATGATGCAACAGGCAGGATAGCGCTGAAAGTGAATTAGGGAAGACCTTGGCTTGATGGTCACTTAATGACCGTTCAAAGTTACAACGGCACTGAAAAAAGCGACTCGTGACCATTTTTCATTCTTATGACCATTGTTGCATCTCCTTAGTCGTGATCAAAATTTGAATGGCTTGGCAACTGATTCATATTTATGACGGTTGCAGTGTCTTGGGGTCATGTGATCACCTTTTGCAACCTTTTTACAAGCAAAGTCAATGGGGAAGCCAGATTCACTTAACAACTGCGTTGCTAACTTAACAACTGCAATGATTCACTCAGCAACTGTGGCAAGAAAGGTTGTAAAATGGGGCAAAATTCATTTAACAAATGTTTCACTTAGCAACAGATATTTTGGTCATAAGTCAAGGAGTACCTATAATTGAATTTGGTAAAATGTTTACCAAAGAAGGAAAAACAGAGAGATTTTAAAATGTATAAATACTGGTGGGAAGATAGTGGTCTGTTCCAAGAACAAATGTTTGCCAAGATAAAGGAAATGAGCAGAATAGCATGCTTTTGTCGACTTTTGTTACCTGGAAGTAAGAGTGGCATAACTTAGGAAAAATATAAACACTGAATATAGTGGAAATGAGGTACTTCTGAAATATTGTGTTCCAAGAAGAGATAGGATCAAGAAAAAAGAGGTGCCAAATGTGGACTAAATGTAAATGGATAACATCCAAACAATTGATACTTTGCTATAGAATATATTTTAGAGATGGTTTGTGGTTATCCCACAGCACCTGAAATTGAGAAATCTGTACTCATGCATTCAAAATTCATAATGGTATTTAAGTATGTAGAATCTGGGAAGTCTTGAGTTGGAACCTGTGCACAAGTATAGATAGTTCTCTCACCAAATGGCATAGTTGTCTTACTGCAGTTTCCAACGTGGGATTGCAGAATACCACAATCTTGTTTGAATAAACTTTCTCCTCTCAGAATGATCTATGCACATTTCATTTAGTGATAGTATAGTGGGGGCTTGGATTTTGGGCGGTGCAGTGTGAACTGGGGTACCAGAGTTTTCTGATATAGAAGCAGCCCGTGTAATGCCTGTGGCTTGCAAAGCAAAATCTAGCTCACACTTCTTGTGGAAAGCTTCCTCAAAGAAACACAAACATCTTGATAGCTCAAGACCAATGGCAAGAGAGCATTACCAATAGCGAAAGGGCAATTAGTAAGAGCCAAGGCATGTACTTTACATTGAATGAAGCCTTGCAGATGGATGAAATGCCAAGGCTTATGCAACAAAAATCAAAGCAAACAAACAAACAGCCCACACCACTTCCTAAGGAAGAGAACAAAAGCTACATTCACCACGGGAAGGAGGCAACGTCAGTTATCTTCTACAAGCCTGTTTCACAAGTGTGGCAGGTTGCATTTAGTGAGTGGCACAGAAACATACATAGAATTATGTTTTTTTATAAAAAAAAGAAACGTGGGATAAAAAATTTGTAAAAATATGAGAAGTGCCACTTCTGAATTTGAAAAGTTCCATGCTGTAAAGCGTGAGTTTATTACATGAAGAGATTTTTTTTCCACCAGGGATAAGACTTAATAGGACATCCTCAACACAGCGGCAGTTGCAAAACTAAACTGTCTTAACACCTCTCCCAGTGAGCTTCTGCCTTTACTACTCAGAAGTAAATCCCACCGAGTTCTTGGTGGCTTCTCCAATAGCTCACACTATCCACAAAGCCGGAATGTGGTTTGTTGGGCTAGTAGTGTGGTGTGTTGTATTAAGCCAGCCCACGTGGTCGTAAAGCAGGCGTATCTACACCTAGCTAACATAATTGATTGGGGTAAACCCCAAACGAAGCACATTTTGGCTCGTTTTGATTAAACACCAAACTTTAGTCCACCCGGCTGTAGAGCAAACTCTCTCGCGCTCCGGCGAACCACCAGTTGATGCTACAGGCAGCCAACAAAACTGGCGGACGCCGAGGATACGTGCGTGCCGGCGCCAAATTGCGGCGCGAGCCCAAACTCGTGATAGCCAAGGCTCCAACCGGGGCCCTTTTAAGCATCTTCCGCTCAGAGCCACGAACGTCGACGACGCGACCCCTCGTCTCAATTTCGGCGGGATTGAGCGGGACTCGATTTGGCGCAACCTTCGCCCCGGGAGGAGGGGCCCCAACAGTAGCAGCTGGGGAAGGGGAGGGGGAGGGGAAGGGGGAGGAGCCTAAGCCTGACATTACGACTTTCCTCCTTTCCCCGGCGAGTAGGCTTCAGCAGCTGGCAGGCGAGCGGCCGAGCGCTGTTAGCGGTTTCGCTGCCGCTCCGGCCTGCTGCTCCAGGGCGCAGCCATGAGGCGTCCCCGCGTGCCCGACTCGGCTCAGTAAAGTTCGCTCAGGATGGAGCTGCCCGGCGCTTCACTGCAGAAGGCTTGCCGCCTGCTTGTGGTCTTCTGTGCCCTCCACCTCTCGGCTATGCTCTTCTACTACCTGAGGGGCAACGCGCTCGTTCAGCAGCGGAGTCCGGAGCCGCCGCCTCGCAGCCAAACCTTCGGCCGTCGGGAGTCGGAGCCGCACCTCCTGGCCAATGTCTCCAAGCCCGCCGCGGATTGCCCCGACCCTTCCCCTTTGCTGTGTAAGTGCGGAGCTCCGTGGGCTCTCCCTCGTTCGTCTCGGCCGATCGTGGGCGCGCCCCGCTTCTCTCCACCCCCACCCCGGCTTTCGCTTCGCCCCGCGGTTTCCCCGCAGTTTCGCCCGGCCGCCTTTGCCTTTCACTTCTCGAAGCCTCCTTTAACCCGTTGCCCCATCGCGCCTCGTTGCTTCAGTCCACACTTTTCTTCCTCCACCCTTTCCTGTTCCTGTCTCTTTCGGGCCCTGCCTGTCTCCCTCCTCTCAAAAAGCCGCCCGCTCGGTCTGTCTGTCCTTCGGGATCTTCCTTTGCCGCTCGTCCCGTGCCGCTGGGAAGCGCCGCGGCCGAGCGCGGGAGCAGAGAAGTTTCTCGCACGGCCCGGAGCGCGTTGCCTTCCCGCGTTCAGCTAAAACTTCGCTTTGCAGATGGGCAAACTTCGTGATAAGGAGAAGGAGAGCTGATCGACTCCACTTGGTCCATTTCCCTTTGCTCCGACGTCTCTTTTACATAGGGCGTCTCTCCCTAAAGTCGAGACGGGGCTTATTTCTGAGTAGCTGTTAACTCTTATTATGCCCAATTGTTCAGCGGGAAATCTGTCTGAGTACACAGATGAAGAGAGGATAATGGGATGAGGACATGAATTCTGAGCCAACAGGGCATGTATAAAATGGTTTGGACAGAACCTGTTTTTTCTGTTGTAATCATCCTCTTCCTGCTCAGTTAATTTCGCCTACCTACCTTCCAGGGTTAACTTTGTTTATAGTAGTAGATTGATCCGGTGGAAAAGTTCCAAAATGCTGCCCTGAACTTTCTGGCAAAGGGGATGTCAGATGATGAATCATGTGTGCCACGTTGCTGAAGGTGGAGGAACTCCCCCCACCCCCTAGATAAGGTGGATTTGTTCTGATGGATTGCTGGAAATGAGTTGCGACTGGACCTTTTGCGACTGGACCTTTTGCGTCTTATCTGAGGGCAGCTTTCTTTGGCAAGTGTGTCCAAAGTGATCTAAAATAACAGGTTCTGTCAGATGAGGGACCTGCCCCTGTTCTTTGGAGTGATTTTGCCTCTGGTCTAGTGAATTTGTAGGCCGTGCCACGCCAACTTTATGGATACAATACAGATCCCTGCTCTCTGTGACAATGGATTGGCTCCGTTTTGTTCTTGATAGCTTTATTTTTTATTTCCATTTTATTCGATTGCAAATTACAAATATTTTTTAATTTGCAATTCAAAATTAATTGTAAATCAAAAATTGCTTAGAAATGAATTGGCACCATTATCTCAGGGGATTCTCACTCCCTTTAGCTAAAGGTTCATTTCCTTCTGTTTGACTTTACAATGGTCTTTTTTTTTAAAAAAAGAACCAGTTTCAAAGAAAAGTTGGTGTTTATGAATGGAAATTTTTTGGGGGGGGGGAATCTCTTAACTTTCAACTTTTAAAAGTAAGTTTGTAGTTTTGTAGAGGTCTAACAAATGTCACATCATTTGTATGAGCTACAATACTGTCCTAATTTTCTATTAATAAAACCATTTCTGTACAATCCCCATTAAACCATACTTTCTGAAATTCCTTTAAAACCTAGATTTGTTCCACATCATGAAAGCATTTAGCTGTTTCTTTTTGTTAAAAGATATTTTATCCCATTATGTTCTTAACATTTTTGTATGGTGGTGTCCGTGAAGGTAAGAAGTCCAGTTAAAACATAGTTTGGGAAAGATGATGTTAAACAACAGTGAGAGACTGTAAAGCATATTGCAAACTGCATTGAAGATTACGTCAGGTCAGAACTGTGTCTCTCTTAACTCAGTGTTAGTGACTTCCCTTTGAGAAATAAGCTTCAAAGCTGCCATGCTGAGGGAGGGGGAGAAAAGCTTAAATTTTTTTTGTAAGGAAAATAATGGGTTTTAATTTTTTTCTTACAGCAGATATCTGGGTTATGTTTGGCAGTTTTGTGCATCTTTTCATAATCAATAATCGGAGGGGGAAAAGAACATCTCTGCAATGAGAAATGAGAAATTCTTTTAGGATACATCTGGAGAGCACCAGATTAGGAAAAGTTTGAAACTTAGGATAGCTTTGAAGTAGAAATCAGTTTTGTATGTTTAAGATGATAAAAGCCACTTCCAGTAAATCATTTTACTAAATAACAGGATAACAGAGTTGGAAGGGGCCTTGGAGGTCTTTTAGTCCAATCCCCTGCTCAAGCAGGAGGCCTTATACCATTTCAGACAAATAGCTGTCCAGATTTCTTTTTGAAAGCTTCCAATGATGAAGCACTCACAACTTCTGAAGGCAAGTTCCATTGGTTTATTGTTCTCACTGTCAGGAAATTTCTCCTTAGTTCTAGGTTGCTTCTCTCCTTGATTGGTTTCCAACCATTGCTTCTAGTCTTCTGATGTTTTACGTGCAATAGGTTGACCCCCTCTTCTTTGTGGCAGCCCCTCAAATATTGGAACACTGCTATCATGTTACCCCTAGTTCTTCTTTTCACTAGATTAGACATATCTAATTCCTGCAACCGCTCTTTATATATTTTAGCCTCCAACTTCCTAACCATCTTTGTTGTTCTTCTCTGCACTCTTTCCAGAGTCTTAACATCTTTTTTTTTAAAAAAGTTTTTTATTTTGTAAAGATTAAAAACAAGACACAAACATGCAACATTTATATACATATCACTTTTCCCTACAGCTACTTCGAAGTGATCCTTTCTTACTATTAACATCTTTTTTATATTGTGGTGACCAAAAGTCAATGCAGTGTTCCAAGTATATGCCAAGTATGTTTCAAGTATATCCAAGTATACTATATTTCCCTTTTCTTTTTGTTTAAATGAGATAACATGCTTCCATTTCTATATGCTTAGTTTTCGCTCTTTTTCTCTCATTGGAGAAAAAAAAGAAACCTTTTAGAAAGAGAACTTCTGTGTCTTATCCTAAACTGCTCTGACTTGTTCATTTGATTGCTTTGAAATATTGATAGCTTATTTCACAACCGTGAGGCACTCTGAATTGAATGTCATACAGTATTAAATGTCCAGAGCAGTGGAACAGCAGTGCTTACGTTGCATTGCTTTATTTACAAAGCTATGCCCTAGTTTTGGTAAATAACTAAAAATGAACAATATTAATATACAGTATTACAATATTACAGTTCAATCTGCATCCTTAACAGAATGTTGCATTTAGAATGTTGATTTATGAAGAATTGTTGCATGAGCTGGGCATGTCTAGTCTATTGAAGAGAACGATTAGGGGTGGCATGATAGTCTTCCAATATCTAAGAGGCTGCCACAAAGAAGAGAGAGTCAACCTATTCTTCAAAGAACCTGAAGGCAGGACAAGGAACAATGAATGGAAACTCTAGAACTAAGAAGAAATTTCCTGACAGTGAGAACAATTAATCAGTGGAATGGCTTGCCTTCAGAAGTTATGGGTACTCCATCACTGGAGGTTTTAACAAAAAGATTGGACAGCTATTGGTCTGACATGGTAGGGGCTCCTGCTTGAGCAGGAAGTTAGACTAGAAGACTTCCAAGATTCCTTCCAACTGTTATTTTGTTATTCTATCACTATTTCTCAGAACAGAAAAAGGAAACTTAGACTACATTCTAGAAGACATTCTGTTAATCTGTCTTCTAGAATGTTATCTTTTTGCTGATGTTTTGGATTCTCATTAGTGGTTAATGGGAAGGCATTGTAGCTAATGTAATTAAAAGTATATGAAGGTTGCCTAATCCTTTCCATTTTCTATCTGTACAAGTACAGTCTTACCTCACCATGTGCCCTCTTGATATGTGAATTTCAAGTTTCATCATTCTCAGCAAAGCAAATGCGAGTTTGAAGATTTTTGGCGTTGAAGCCCAGCTCTCTGGAGGCCACCAAAGCTACCCAAATATTGGGATTCAGTTGAGCTTGATGATAGCTCTCTCTTAATAGTCCAGTCTTTGAGTTTGATCTTGTTCTTTTAAAAAAAAAAAAAAAAACCCTGCTTCTTCCCCACTCATCCATCTGTAATCCATTTACTCTAATAACCAAGACCATAATTAGCACCTCCTTTCCTGCCCATGTAGAACAAATATTACAATGAATGCCTGAAATCTTTCTTCCCAAGATAGGAATAGAATTATAGGAAATTAGTTATTTTGTAAAAAATAAATAAATAAATCCTTTGACTGTTACTTTGTTACAGCCATGTTTCTCTTTTATCCTTCTCCCTCCCTCCCTCCCTCTCTTTCAGAGAGAGAGCAAGCATGTATGTTACTTGATGATGTGGGGATTATAGTTCAAAATATGCTGCTTTGGGAATTTTGGATGTCAGAATTTAAATTTATCAGTGGGATTGGAAAGGCTGCTATATACCATTTTTAAAGCCAAATAGGATTCGCCCTAATTGGAAGCTCTGATTTTAAAGATTATATATGTCCAAAGTTTCAGTACTGTGTTTGTTTAAACAACCCAACCCAGCTATTTGTGAGGCAAATATAACATGGTCAAATAATAGCATTTAGAGTCACAGTCTGAATCTGTTATTCAGATTGTATAACAATATTATTTTGGTAAGATTGAGCATTTGATGGGTCAAAAATTGATAAATCGATCAGTCAAGTAATAAGAATTATTTAGAACAAGAAACTTTTTGTTTTGCATATTGTCTTGATATCCACTCAGAAATTAATCTCAGTTCTCAGGAAACAGCACAAACATTGGAGCCCGACCGCACAACCACACAGCTGTTTACTAAAAGTAAATCCCACTGAGTTTAGCAAAGCTTTATTCTGAAATTGAGGGTACAGAATTGCATTAATCCTTCAGAGGCTTACTTCTGAATAGACACAGATAGAATTGTGTTGTTACTTATTAGCAGGATTAATGGTTAGCAAACTTGTTTTTGTAGTTTAAAACCATATCTGAGAAGCAATTGAATAACCATTTTTTTAAAAAAATAATGCATTGAAAAGATTTAGCAGTGTTAGTTAAGGCGTCTGCAAATGTGATTAGTTATTTCT